TCAGGACGAAAAACCGGTCCCGGGGAAGGGGTCGGGACCTCTGGGGGTCGACGTCGTGAAAAAATCACGACGTCGGGGGTCTGGGTTTTGCGCCGGGGAAAAACACGGTTTGCGAGGGGGCCGCCGAGGGGGCCGCTGGAGCCGCCGAGCTCGGCGCCGCGCCCGCCGGGCTGGCCGCCGGGCGCACTCCTGAGACCGCTGGCAGCGGTGCGAACGCCGCTGGGGCCGCCGCCAGGGCAGTCCGCTGCGTCCCGCGCCCTGCGCCGGGCATGGCCGACTTGGACAGCTTCTGGGGCGCCAACATCATCGACCTCGAGTGGCCCGAGCTCGGAGTTGCTGTTCCGCCGCTTCGTCCTGGCCAGTGCTTCTCCTCTGACATGGAACGCAGAGCGAAGGAGGCGGCCACCCCTCGGGTCGGAAGGGCCCTCGAAGAGGGCTCTGGCACATCGGCGACGGCTTCGGGCTCGGGTGCTCCAGCTTCTGCGACGAGCGGCGCACTCACTGTCCCTGAGAAGGAGGAGACGCCTCGGCAGACGAAACCCTCGCAGGGCTTGGGTTCGCAAGAGCCCCTGGACCCACGAGCGGGGCCCTGCCTTGGCGAATCGCTGGAGGGACAGCAGAAGTCGCCACGGGAAGGCCAGCTTCCACGGGAAGGTCGGCCTCACCCCGAAGGCCAGCTTCCGCGAAAAGATCGGCCTCACGCAGGTGCTAGCGCAGCAGCAGGCTCGCCAGCGCAGCAGGGGTTGGACGCAGTATACGGCGAGTTCGTCAGGCTCCTCGAGCTCGATCTGATCGGCGCCTATCATCTCGAGGAGGCCGCGCGCGAGTACGTTGGGCGCGGCGTGGCGCCGAGGTTCGGCATGGAGGCGGTGCGGCTCCCAACCAGGGGGCCTTTCGCAAAGGGCTCGGCCGTGGCCACCAGATGGCGCGAGATCAGCATCGTGGTCTGGGAGAAGCTCGACACCCGGCGACAGCTCAGGCACGGGGGCCGTCGCGCAAGGTTGTGCGTTCGCTTGGCCGAGCTCCACGGGCGCGTGGCCAAGTTGTCGGCCCAGCACCTTGGCGTGGACGTGCTCGGACAGGAGGAGGTGAAGTCCATGAGATGGCTCCTCCGCAGGTTGGGCAGGCTGCCGTGCGAGGACGTCGTGCGCGCGCAGGCTCGCGCGCGGCGCCACGCCGAGAAGCTGGAGGTGGAGTTCGGCAGGGAGCGCAGCAGGCAGTGGCGCAGCTGGGCACAGGGCGCTGTCAAGGACAGCGCGGGCGCCGCCCACGGCTTCCGCCGCGCCCCGCTGGGATGGGCGCCCGACGTGGGGGGCGCGCAGACCGACGGCGGCGCAGGCGGGCCGGCTGGCATCGGGGCGACGCTCAGCACCTTGCTGGACGAGCGCAAGCAGGTGTGGCAGCACGGCCAAGAGCCCCCGCTGGACCTCGACGCGGCGCTGCCGCCTGACCTGCTGGAGGCCTGCCCGCCCCCCCTGGCACTTGGCGACGTCGCGGCGGCCGCGGCCAAGTTCAAGGCGGCGACGGCGACGGGGATAGACTGCCTAAAGCCGTCTTCGTTCGGGCACCTCAGCGAGGGCGGCCTCGAGGCGCTTTGTCTGCTCCTGCACTGGATCGAGTACCTGCTGCGGGTGCCGTCGCAGGCGGAGGAGATGTTCATCTTCTTCCTCGCCGAGGCCGACGGCGGATGGCGCCCGATAGGCCTGCTGCGCGGACTGGCCCGACTCTTAGGCCGCCCCAGGCTCGAGGAGGCCCGAGAGTGGGAGAGTCATCGCAACAGAAGTTTCTTCTACGGCGGTGTCGGGCGCTCCTGCGAGGACGCGGTCCGGGAGCAGGCCTTCGACGCAGAGCGCGCGGAGGCGCTGAGGCTCCACAGCATGTCGTCCATGGTGGACTTGAACAAGGCCTACGAGCGGGTCACGCGCCGTGGGCTGGTGGCGGCGCGCAGGCGGCACGGCTTCCCGCCCAGGAGGCTAAAGCTGTTGTTGAAGGTCTACGGCGGCAAGAGGCGGCTGTGCGTCGGCAGGTGGAAGTCTGACTGCTTCCAGGTGGGGCTCTCCGTCATCGCGGGCTGTAGCTTCGCCACAACGCTGCTCCGGGTGGTCCTGCTGGGCCCGCTCGACGCCCTGGTAAAGGCGTGGACGTCGCTCAAGATGTTCGCGGTGGTCGACGACCTCGCGCTGGCGGCGCGCGGCAAGCTCCGCGACGTGGAGATGGCGATCTACAGGGGCACCGACATCTTGTGCACGGAGCTCGAGCAGATCGGTTTCAAGATCTCGCTCACAAAGGGCAACATCCTGAGCAGCGACTTGGGCGCGGGCCAGAGGGTATCGCGGAAGTTGTCCAAGTGGAAGTTTCCGCTCCACAGCGCGGTCCGCAACTTGGGCGTGGACTTCGGCGTGGGCAGGCGCGCTGGCTGGGGCGTGCTCAGGGCCGGGCTCCAGAAGCTGGGCAAGCGTGCTTCGAGGTTCATGGCGCCGCGGAGGGCAGGCGCGAAGCTGGGGAAGGTCTTCCGCTCAGGGGGCCTCGCCTCGGTGCTGCGCGGCGCTCGCGTGCGCGGCGTGCCCGCCAGGGTGCTGGAGCAGGCGAGGACCGCCAACGCCCGCGCCATTGGCGGCGAGGCAGGGCGGCGGTCGCGGGCGCTGCAGTTCGCGCTGCAGGAGGGCACCGGCTGGCGGCGGGGCCCCTTCTACGCCGCCTCGGCCCTCCCGCTGGTCGCCTGGTCCAAGGCGGTCGGTCTTCACTGGAGCGATAATGGCTGCCGCCTTGAAGGCCGCGCACCTTGCCGCGACCGCGTCGACGTGGGGCGAGGTGAAGGGGCCGACGGCGGCGGCGAAGTTGACGCTGGAGCGGATCGGTTGGCAATTCACGGCGCGGGACACGTGGGCGACCGATCAGGGCTGGCAGCTGGACCTGAAGAGGTACAGCCCGAAGTTTGCGGCCGCGCACGTCGAGGCGGGCACGACTCGGGCCCTGCTGACGCGGGCGCAGGGGCATCGTGGATTCGAGGCGCTCTGGCAGCGGCCGCCAGTGCTGGAGCCCCTGCGCGCGGGGCTGCAGGCGCTGCGCAGGAGAGGCGACCTGGAGATGGTGCACTTGGTCGAGGCGCTGGTGGCGGGTGGCATCGTGTCGCAGTTCGACCTGTACGTAGAGAGGGCGGAGCTCGACCCACGATGTCAGCGGTGCCACGCGGCGTTGGGCACCACCCACCACAGGCTTTTCTGTTGCGACGCGACCTGCACGCTGGCGCGGGACATGGGCCTTGGCCACGTCCGAGCTGCGGGGAGGGCCGCTTCTCCCAGCGACCTCGGGATGCTGCGCGGGCTCGTCGACCTGAGGCTGGACGAGGCGCCGCCGCCGTCTCGCGTCGCGATCTGCCTCCGGGCGGGGGTCGGTCTCCGGACGCTGTGGACAGGCACCGTGTGTGTGGACGGCTCTGTCACCTGCCCATTGTGCCCGCAGCTGGCGCGCGCTGGCTGGTCAGTGGTCTCCATGGCGGGCGACGGGCGCATCCTGGGCGGCATGTGCGGCTGCGTTCCCGGCGAGTTCCAGGAGATCGGGCACGCCGAGCTGTGTGCGGTGGTCCGCGTTCTGCGCGAGAAAGGGATCGGTCACCTGACTATCGTGAGCGACTGCAAGGGTGTCGTCGACGACTTCCATCGTGGCGAGGTCTACTGCACGTCGTACCAGAGCAAGTGCGCCGACTTGTGGCGGGAGCTCTGGTTTCTGGTCAATGATGCTGGGCGAGATCAGGTCACGCTCGTGTGGGTGAAGGCTCATGCTTCGTGGAGGGTGGCCGAGTCGCTCGGCGCGTGTTGGAGCCACCATATGGGCAACAAGGAGGCCGATCGGTTGGCCAAGCTGGGGGCGCGGCTTCACCTGCAGGCTAGGCTCCGGGACTGTGAGGCCAGGTTCGCCGCCGCCCACGTAGCGGCCGAACAGCTTTTGCTCCACCACGGTGTCGTGCTGAAGTTTCTCGCGGGCCTGGATTGGCCCGACAGGGGTCGTCTCCCAGGCCGCCGCGGGGCCCCAAAGGGGATTCAGCTGGAGCTTGAAAGGTCTCACAATGGGCACACCCTTGAACGTCTTGGGCGTGCGTGGGGATGTCTCAAGTGCGGGATCCGCAGGGCCACCGGGGCCAAGGTTGTATCTTTCCCGTGCGTCGGGGTCCCTAGGCCCGCTTCCTTGGCCCACGGTTCCCATCGGCTCTGGGTCGTTCGGTGTCGTCGGGGCCTGCGGGGGGGTTCGTCGTCGTCGGGGGGTGTCCAGACCGATGGGAGCCAGGAGGCCATTGTTTTCTGTAATCGCTGCGGGGCCTACGCTCGGCGGCAGACTCATTTCCTGCGTTCCGAGTGTCACCCAGCGAATCGTCTGGCCAGGAAGGCCCTTGACAGGCTCCGCGCGGGGAGGGAGCCCTACTCGAACGAGTATTGGGGGCTCCCCTTCCCATTAATTCGGCGTCAGTTTTTAAACCTGGTTTAAAACTTGCCGTTCTGCCTTGGTCTGCAGCTAACGAGTTGAACCGCGGAGCCCCGGGTGTTGGTCCTGGGCTGAAGGTCGCCGGCCGTCCCTGGGAGAGTTCCTGCGTAGTCGTAGGCTGTGGTTGGGTCTCATGAGACTCACCGCTTTTAGGACATAGGAGGAGGAGGAGGAGGAGGAGGAGGAGGAGGAGGAGGAGGAGGAGGAGGAGGAGGAGGAGGGGAGGGAGGGAGGGAGGGAGGGAGGGAGGGAGGGAGGAGGGAGGGAGGGAGGGAGGGAGGGAGGGAGGGAGGAGGAGGAGGAAGAGGAGGAGGTGCGTGGAGGGAGGGAGGGGCAGCGGGGGGCGGAGCAAGCCCCCGGCCGTCAGGCCCGACGGCTGGAGATTGGGACGCGCGCGTCGTGCCAGCTGGTTTCGCCCGAGGTGCGTCGCTCGCCACACACAGCCGGCAAAGAGGAGGGTTGGGCAGACGGACTTATGGGGAGCCCTCTTCCCCTTCCTCCTCCTACATACCACCTTTCGTAGCCACTCAGTCCCAGGAGCCCACACTCGCGCGTTCGCGCGCCCTTCCAGAGTGGGCGAGCGGGGCCCGAAGAGCGGCGACGGTGGGCGTTTCATGGTGCCGCTGTGGCTGGCAGTGCTTCTGGTGCCTGTGACCCTGCTGGGGGCGATCATTCTCACGGTGGTGCTGGTGAAGATCTGCTGCCCGACGGCCTTCTTCAGGCTGCAGAAACCCCCCGGCTTCATCCTCCACGCGATTACAGGGGGCAAGGTGCCGCCCTACTTCGTGACCTGGGTGTGGGAGGACGAGCATCTCTCCAAGTGGCTGAAGGACGGCGATGTTGTCTGCTGCGTGGGCGCCAAGTCTGGGACCACCTGGCTGATGAACATCGTGCACCAGGTCCGGACCCTGGGCGACCCCAACAATTTCCTCAAGATGAACACGCACACGATGCCCTGGCCAGAGTGTGACCGCTATCCTGGCGAGACCAAGAAGGAGAAGATGGATCACCTGTTTGGGCTGGACGGGATGACGAACCCCGCCTACAAGTTCAACGTCTTCAAGTCGCACTACGGGCCCCGGAAGGCGGGCGAACCGTGGAAGGAGGCAGTCAAGAGAGACGCGGTCGTGCCTGTCAGGGAGAGGCCCGGAGTGAAGTATATCATCTGCATGCGGGAAGGCAGGGACGTGATGGCCTCTTTCTACCCGTTCTTCGCATCCCACAACGACGAGTTCAAGAAGATGTGGGGCGGCTTCCCGCCAACCTTCCCCGACTGGGATGCCAACTTCAAGTTCTTCACCGAGGAGCAGCCCAACTTCTACTTCGGCTACTGCGCGGCGTGGTGGCCCTACCGCCACGACCCCAACGTGCTGCTGCTCCACTACAACGATTTGAAGTCGGACATCAGGGGCTGCCTGCGGAAGATCGCAGCTTTCTGCGACGTGGCAGTTCCCGAGAGCTCGTGGCCTTTGATCGAGGAGAAAGTGTCCCTGGGCTGGATGAAGAAGAACGAGGGCATCTTCAAGTACGACATCTCCTCCAAGTACTACACCGGCACCGTCATGAAGCAGGAGGAGGGGTCCATGATCCGCAAGGGCGAGGTTGGCGATGGTCGGGGCAGGCTGACGCCAGAGCAGGAGAAGAAGTTCCAGGAGCTCAGCGACCGGTATTTCGGGGGCCTGCCGGGCCTCGCCGAGTGGGTGGCGAAGGGCGGGCCCGTCCCACCACTCGCGGAGGCCGAGGTTGGCGGCCAGGTCGGCGGCCTGAGCGCGCCGCTGCTGGCGCGGGGGCCCTGAGGCGTGCCTTCGGCATCGTTTCGCGCTCCCAGGGGGAGCACAGCTCTCCCAGTTGTGGCCAGTAAGTGAGACGTGCTCGCCCCCGCACGGCGACCACCCCCCCTCCCGCGGGCGAGCTCTTCGCCCCCCCCACCCCGGGGGTGCACCGTATGTCCAGCCGCGGCTCCCGTGCGCTGCGAATTCGAGGTCGGGCCAGGCAGCGCTCGGCGGTGCACGCGCGAGGAGCCCGGAGGTGGGCCAGGGTAAGGCTCTGCACGGGGGGCGCGCCGGAATATATACGATGTTCTATGCTTTGGTGGGCTCGCAGGCGCCGGCCTTGATATATCTAGTCATACAATTCGCTCTCTCCAGAGGCGACGAGGTGCATATCTGTGTAGTCGCGGCCCCGAGCCGCTCGCATTGGCAACACGATGTGTCTCGTGGCGTCTTCGCCTCAGGTGTGGTTTCGGCTCAGAGCCGCTTGCATTGGCAATGTTATATTATAATGTGTCTCGAGGCTTCCTCGCCTCCGATAGTTATAACCACAGAGCCGTGCAAGTGTTAAAAGCTCCAGCTGTCGGGCAGGAACGTGCGTTGGTTACGTTTTTAGTTAAACATAAGTATCACCCAAAGAGTTCCAAGAGGGCGCCAAGAGGACACCGAGAGAGTTGCATACCAGCGGAAGCACAAGCTTCAGCAGCACCACCAGCAATCCCACCAGCGTTAACGCCAGCAGCAGCACCCGCAGCAACCAGCAGCAGCAACCAGCAGCAGCCCCAGCATCCGCAGCAGCACTAGCATCAACACCAGCAGCAGGAACATCACGACCAGCAACATACCAGCAATAGCACCATCAGTACTAGCAGCAACACCTGCAGAGGCACCAACAACACCACGACCAGCAACAACATCAGCAGTAACATCACCGGCGAGAGCGGCAAACGCAGCATCATAATCAGCACCATCACCATCATCCTCGGCTGCAGCAGCACCAGCAGCAGCACCACCACTAGCAGCAGCACCAGCAGCAGCACCAGCAGCGCCAACCGCAGCACCATCAGCACCAGCAGCAGCATCGCCAGCAGGACCAGGAGCAGCACCAGCAGCGCGAACACCAGCAGCAGCGACGGCAGCAACAGCACCAACAACAGCAACGGGAATAGTAGCACCAGCAGCGCAGCACCACCACTCGAACACCTGTAGCAGCAGCAACGGCAGCAGCAGCACGATCACCACGACCAGCAGCAGTAGCAAAGGCAGCAGCACCAGCAGCAGCACCACCAGCAAAGCAGCAGCCGCAGCAGCAACACCAGCAACAACAACACCAGCCACTGCTCCGAGTCCCCGTCCTAGTTCTCGTGCTCCTTTAAGCTCTGTTTCGCGATGTGTGTCTCTTCCTCTATGTACGCGTCGGCTCTCAAGGGCATCATTTCTGGATGGGCCGATGGGGCTGCACGAAGCGTCAAGAAATCCAAACGGGCTCGTTTGAAGAATCGTGCTTCGCGCACCAGCCGGACCACGGTGCGCGGTGATGACGGAATGGCGGCCCCGCTCGATTCGTTGCAACGAAATCTGTATGGATACATACAACAAACAACGAAAAATGGTGCGTGCAGTTTTGTCTTTGTTCATTGATGGAACTGCACCACGGCCTTCTCCAACAAGCCATTATGTAATGTAGTAGTTTTGAAGCAATTTGTGCAACTCGACACCTGGACTCCGTCATAAATGTTGGGAGGGTAGACAAATCAACGACGGCTCCACATGGCGCCGAGATGGCGTCCAAATGGCGTGATATGGCCCCCTAAGATGGTTGTCGGCATGGCCCAGAAAAGGTCTCGATGGGGGCTCAGAAAAGCGGGCCCAGTGGAGATTGGCGAGCCCGCGCGAGCTCTTCGACAGCACTGGGCGAAAAGTGCCGGCGGAAGGGGGCGGCGAAGGATTAGGAAGGGGTGATCGCGACGATGATGTGTTCGAGCCAGACAGCTGAGGCCAAGCCTTGTGCCCAACCGGCTACGGAAGGGAGAAAGGCGAGGAGGGGGAGGGAGCGAGGAAAGGAACGCATGAGGGAGGGTCGCGGGGTCGAAACAATCAGCTTGCGCATCCCAAACGACAGGGGCCTGAGGCACCCATCCCGAGTGGAAATTGTAAGTGCTTAATATAGTTTCGCGCTGCCTAGAAGCCCTCGCGCGTCTCCAACTGACGTTTCTTCCGAGGTTCCTGAACGTCGGGCCCCCAAACGGGGTGGTGACCACACCGTGCGGTGAGTCGGTGGGGATTCGGGGTCACCGCACGGTTTTGGGACTCGGGTCGTTCTCCGAGGAAGTCTCGGGCGACAGGGGCCTCCAGGGTCCCAAGACCGTGCGGTGACGGACCGTGCGGTGAGGTCTTGCGGGATTTCGAGGTCACCGCACGGTCCGTCACCGCACCGTTTCGGAACTCCAAACAGAAGCGCCGAGGTATCCACCCGGGTGCCTCACGCGATCTTTCGCAGGGCGTTTGACAGAGATTCTGAAAGTTGGATTCTCCAAGGACCCCGAGCGTCTTTAGAGGATCTGATGTCCTTCCCAGACATGTCGGAGTCGACCGCCCAGACCAACCAGATCAATCGGACCAATCCAAGCATACCAACCAGATGAACGCTCCCGACCAATTCAACCAAACAGACAAAATGAAACAGAACGTCCGAATCAACCATGCCGTCCAGACCAGAACAATGAAGTCTACAAACCCAGATCGGATCAAGAGGGCGGCCATGGTTTTTCTCGACTTGGGGGGTTGTGGAGTAAAGAGAGGCTCCATCGCCGAGCTTTGCCGTGCAAAAAATTGCAGCGGACAACAATTGTAATTGTGAGCACGGTCGTTGGCGCGATGATCATCGCACCTCACCCCCCTGCACCTCCCCAAACCTCTTGCCGTGGAAATGCGAATCCAGGAAATCACAAACTGAAGCTGTAACACAGCTGCGGGACGCAAAAAACATGCAATGCAAAACAAAGTGCAGCGCAAAAAACTGCTCGTTGGCGCAGTGGGCTTCAGATCCTCCCTGGACCTCCCCAAACCGCTGAAGCTAGAACAGCAAAGCTGCAATGCAAAAAGTTACAATGCTAAAACAATTGCAATGCAACAGAAAACTGCAGCGCTCAACAAACTGCAATTCGCATCATGGTCGTTGGCGCCGTGGGTTTCAGACCCTCTCCGGATCTCCCCAAGACGATCTCGCCTCGCACGCGGAGTCCGAAGCTGAAGCTAGAACGGTAAAGCAGCAATGCAAAAAAAAATGCAATGCAAACAATTGCAGCACAAAACAGCAATTCGCATCATGGTCTTGGCGCCGTGGGTTTAAGACCCTCCCTGGACCTCCCTAAATCGGTCTCGCCTTGGACGCGGAATCCAAAGTTGAGGCTAGAGCGGCAAAGCAGCAATGCAAAAAAAAATGCAATGCAAAAAAAAATAGGTTCTGGTCATGGTCGTTGGCATTGTGGGCTTCAGACCCTCCCTGGACCTCCCCAAACCGGTCTCGCCTCGCACGCGGAATCCAAAGCTGAAGCCAGAACGGTAAAGCAGCAATGCAAAAAAATGCAATGCAAAAAACATGCAATGCGAAATCAAATTGTAATTCTGATCATGGTCGTTGGCGCCGTGGGCTTCAGACCCTCCCTGGACCTCCTCAAACTGGTGTCGCCTCGCACGCAGAATTCAAAGCTGAAGCTAGGACGGTCAAGATGAAATGCAACAATAAATTGCAATTCAAAAAAATTGCAATGCAAAACAAACTGTAATTCTAATCATGGTCGTTGGCGCCGTGGGCTTCAGACCCTCCCTGGACCTCCCCAAACCGGTCTCGCCCCGCACGCGGAATCCAAAGCTGAAGGTTAGAACGGCAAAGTTGCAATGCAGATAACAATTGCAATGCGAAAAAAGTTGCAACGCAAGAAAAAATGTAAGTCTGATCATGGTCGTTTGCGCCGTGGGCTTCAGACCCTCCCTGGACCTCCCAAAACCGTTCTCGCCTCGCACGCGGAGTCCAAAGCTGAAGCTAGAACGGCAAAGTTTGCAATGCAAAATAAAATTGCGATGCAGAAAAGAAATAGATTCTGATCATGGTCAGTGGCGCCGTGGGCTTCAGACCCTCCCTGGACCTCCCTAAACCGGTCTCGCCTCGCACGCGGAGTCCAAAGTTGAAGCTATATCGGCAAAGTTGCAATGCAAATAATTCTGCGATGCAGCAACAAAAAATGCAATGGAGAAAAAGTAATTCTAATCATGGTCGTTGGCTCCGTGGGCTTCAGACCCTCCCTGGACCTCCCCAAACCGGCCTCGCCTCGCACGCGGAATCCAAAGCTGAAGCTAGAACGGCAAAGTTGCAATGCAAAGCAAATTCATTTCAAAACAAATGCAATGAAAAACAAACTGTAATTCTGATCATGGTCGTTGGCGCCGTGGGCTTCAGACCCTCCCTGGACCTCCCCAAACTGGTCTCGCCTCGCACGCGGAATCCAGAGCTGAAGCTAGAATTGCAGAGCAGCATTGCAAACAAACACATGCTTTCTCGCCTCTCACGCGGAATCCAAAGTTGAAGCTTAAGCACAAGCTTCAGCCTTTCGTTTTGATGCTTGGCGTCCCGCCGTGCGCTACAACGGCTAGGAACTTTATACACTTCGTTTTGGCTCATGATGTAGAAATCGCCGAAGTTGTTGCTTGTTACGCAGTGTCTGGTGTTCGCTGGCAAAGCTCTTGCCACACCTCCAGGGCCCGCGCACGTTCGAGACGGCGGACGTTGATTTCGTCCTCTTTCGTTCCGTCCTCTTTCGTTTCGTCCGCCTTTCGTTTCGGCCGTGTTCCATTTCGTCCTCTTTCGTTTTGTCCTCTTTCGTTTAGTCCGCCTCTCGATTCGTCCTCTTCCGTTTCGTCCGCTTTCGTTTCGTCCGTTTTCGTTCCGACCGCCTTTGTTTCATTTGTTGTCGCTGTGGTTGATTACTTTGCTCGGTGGTGCTTGATGAGGATATCGGGTGAACATTGAAACTGGACGAATTGCAACGAGACATATTGAAACCGGACGAGTTGAAATCGGGCGAGCTGAAACCGGACGAATTGAAGCTTGATGGGTTGAAGCGGGACGAATTTCAATTTGACGACTTGAAACCAGACTGATCAAAACAAGGCGATCAAAAACGGCCAATCGAAACGGGACGAATTGAATCCGGACGAATTGGCAATAAACGAATTAAAATCACATGGTCCGCGCGAGCAGACAATTCCCCATATTCGTGATGAACAACCTGATGTTTGTTTTATGGCTTTGTGTTGCAATATTTGCGGGTCTGAAGCGTTTGGTAGGATGTTGACATGTGCGCGTGCTTGGTGACTGTGTGTTCTTCCTTGCAGGGGATACTCGACAATTGACCTGATGCGGTGAACGAGTGTGCGCGCATAGTGTTAATGTCAACTTGTGATTCATAAATTATGGACCCCCACGAGGCTGATGAATAGACCCCGCGGGGCGCGAAACAATTCTTTGAATCACGCTCGCTCGGTGGTCGTCGCGGGCGCTGCCGAGGGAATCGTTTTCCCATGCACGGTAGCCTCAAAACGATTGCCTTTCGTATAGGCGAAGTTTTTCTCCCTCGCAGGCTGACGATTGACGTGCCCCAGTCGTCGGTCGTGGTCGTCGTGATCGTCGCGGTCGTCGTCGTCGTCGTCGTCGTCGTCGTCGTCGTCGTCGTCGTCGTCGTCGTCGTCGTTGTCGTCGTCGTCGTCGTCGTCGCTTCCTCGTCGTCGTCGTCCTCGTCGTCCTCGTCGTCGTCGCCCTCGTCGTCGTCGTCGACGACAGCGGGCCTACGCAGCAGCCCCCAGCCAGGTCCCCCCCCCTGCATCGGGCAGTGCGTCGTCGTTCGTCGCCGTCGCCGTCGCTGTTGCCGTCGCCGCCGCCGCCGCCGCCGACGACGACGACGACGACGACAGCGGGCCCACGCAGCACCCCAGCACCCCCCCAGCCCCATAGGAGTATCCGCAATGCGTCGTCGTCGTCATCGTCGTCGTCGTCTTCGTGGCGTCGTCGACGACTAAAGCGGGCATGCGCAGCACCCCCGACCCCTCCCCTCTTGAGCATCCGCAGTGCGTCGTCGTCGTTGTCGTCGTCGTCGTCGGCTTTGGGTCCGCCGTACTTGGGGGTCGGTTTCGCAAGGAGGGCGGAAAGTTCCGCCCTACTTTGCCGTCGCTGCTTCTGCCAATACCTTTGCGGAAATGGCAGCCCTACTTTTTCTGAGGTGGGAATTTCGGCCATATTTTTTCGCATCGTTTGGGGTGCACCAGCCGGGGCGTCCCCCAAAGTGCGGTGGATTCGACATCAGGGCCTGGCTTCTGGGTCACAGCTCGGGCCTCTGGCGGCCGTTCGCGTCGATCCGGGCCCCCCAGGACGTCGGCGAGGCGCCGCTGCTGGAAGCAGTCCCGAGGCGGGAGCACCGCGGAGAGCCGACGAAGACGTCCGAACAAAACCTTCCGCGAAGCCCCTGGTCGGAGCCGTGCAGTGGGCCAAGGGCCACCTCTGGCACCGCCCCGAGGCACTGCGACAGGCCAGCCGCCTCGAGCTCTCGCGGGCGCCAGAGATCTGTCAAGGGAGGAGAAACCACCCGGACCAGACCACTGGCGTTCCCAGACCCCCTCGAGTCATGAAAAAATCACGACGGGAGGTGTTTGTCGCCATTTTCGGCCTCTGGGGGCCCTCACCTGGCTTCGGGAGCGTCAAAAAAACGACTCAGGATGACAAGCCCGTCCCGGGGAAGGGGTCGAGAACTCTGGGGTCGACGTAATGAACAAATCATTACGTCGGGGGTCTGGGTTTATTAAACGGCCTTGGGCGTTTATTAAAAAGCCCTGCCCTGTTCCATTCCCTCAGTGGACCCAGACCCCCGACGTCATGATTTTTTCATGGCGCGACCCCCAGAGGTACCCCGATCCATTCCCCGGGACCGGTTTTTCGTCCCGAGTCGTGTTTTGACGGCCCCGAGGCCCGGTAAGGGCCCCCAGAGGCCGAAGATAGCGGAGAACCTCCCGTCGTGATTTTTTCACAGCGCGAGGGGATCTGGGGAGGCGTTTCGTCAACGGCTTCGCGCGTCGGGGTGGTCATTGCGGGGGCGGATTTTTTGCCCTTTCGTCTGGGGAGCCGAGACGCGTCAGCTCCTCGGCCCGCGGCCGCCCTCGCAGCGGGCCTCGTCGGAGGCGCGCCGGCGGTTGTCGCCTGCTCCCTCCGTGGGGGGGGGGGGCGGCGGCTCTGAGGCGGTCGGCATTCCAGACCTCCTCGAGTCATGAAAAAAACACGGCGGGAGGTTTTTCGCTATTTTCGGCCTCCGGGGGCCCTTACCGGGCCTCGGGACCGTCAGAAAACGACTCGGGACGAAAAACCGGTCCCGGGGAATGGGTCGGGACCTCTGGGGGTCGCGTCATGAAAAAATCATGACGTCGGGGGTCTGGGCTGGGAGTCGCCGGAAGGATCAAAGGAGACTAAGCCCCGCTGGGGGGCCGTGACGCCGGAGTGGGCCTCGGATTACGCCGGATGGAGCGGGCGCACGCGGGATCAGGCTGGATCAAGCGGGATTGAGCGGGAGTAAGCCGGATTTCGGACCAGGGCAAAATCAGCAAAGTCAGAATGGACGCCCGGGGCCACGGCATGCGGCAGGGGGCCGCAGCGCCCAGGCCCCTCGCGCCGGTGCTCGGGCGTGCTCGTCGGCGTCCTCGCCGCGGGGCGCTGCTCGAGCGGCAAGCGGCCGCCGCGCCGAGGGCCCTCGCGGGGTGGCGGGGAGGGGGCGGGCGGCGGGCGGCGGGCGGCGGGCCCGCCGCCGAGGAGGCGAGGCGGCGGGCGGCGGGCGGCGGGCCGGGGCGAGGAGGCGGAGGCGGGCGGCGGGCCGGGCCGCACTCCGCCGAGGAGTGCGGCGGGCCAGGCCGCGCCCGCCGAGGAGGGCGAGGGCGCCCGGGGAAAGGGGGGGGGGGGCCGCCGCCGAGGGGCGCGGGGGCCTTCTCCCGGAGGGCAGGGCGGCGGGGCTCTCCTCCGAGGCCCCTCGCGCGCCCGCGGGGGCGTCGCCGCTCTGGCTTCGGGGGGGGGGGGGGGGCTCCCAGGACGTCCCGGAGGGCCAGGGGCCGGGGCCCCGGCCCGAGAGCCCTGTCCCCCTCTCGCGTGGGGGCTCGAGGGGTTCCCTGCGGGGCCCGGGGGCAAGCAGAACGCGAGTCGGGAGGAAGAGCTCGGTGCCCCGGGGCCCACATCATGGACACATCTTGACGTCGGTGGTCTGGGGGCCTGGCAAGGTGTGTCTTCCCCCTCTCTCTCCTGGGGGAAGGATCGGACTCCCTCCTCCTGTTTCCTCCTCTCGAGGGCGGGGGGGCCGAGGAGAGGCATCCCTCCTCCTCCTCCGCCTCCTCCGCCGTTTCCTGACCCTCGACCTGCACCTTCCGCACCTTCGCGCGGCCGCCGCCGCGGCCGCAGCGGCGGCCAGCGTCGAAGCCAAAGCGGCGGCACCTTCTGTGCGGAAGGTGCGGAGGATGCAGGTCGAGGGTCGCCTTTCTCATCCTCCTTGTCCTCCTCCCCCCGCCTCCTGCCCTCTAGAAGGGGGCCCTCGAGGAGGGGGGGGCTGCAGAGGAGCTCCGCGGGACGCCGCGGGCGACGCGCGCGTGGGGGCCGAGGAGGGCCCGCCGGTGCCGCTGCGGGCAGCAGAGGACGGCCGCGCCACCCCCGCACGGCTGCCGCGCTGCTGCCGCAGGGGGGCGCGCCGTGCTCTTCCGTTTTCTTCTCTGTGTGTGTACGCGCGCGCGCGCGCGCGCGCGCGTGTGTGTGTGTGTGTGTGTGTGTGTGTGTGTGTGTGTGTGTGTGTGTGTGTGTGTGTGTGTGTGTGTGTGTGTGTGTGTGTGTGTGTGCGTGCGTGTGCGTGTGCGTGTGCGTGTGCGTGTGCGTGTGCGTGTGCGTGTGCGTGTGTGTGTGTGTGTGTGTGTGTGTGTGCGTGTGCGTGTGCGTGTGTGCGTGTGCGTGTGCGTGTGCGTGTGCGTGTGCGTGTGTGTGTGTGTGTGTGTGTGTTGTGTGTGTGTGTGTGTTGTGTGTGTGTGTGTGTGTGTGTGTGTGTGTGTGTGTGTGTGTGTGCGAGTGGTGTGTGTGTGTGTGTGTGCGTGTGCGTGTGCGTGTGCGTGTGCGTGCGAGTGTGTGCGAGTGCGTGTGCGTGTGCGTGTGTGTGTGTGTGTGTGTGTGTGCGTGTGCGTGTGCGTGTGCGTGTGCGTGTGCGAGTGTGTGCGAGTGCGTGTGCGTGTGTGTGTGTGTGTGTGTGTGTGTGTGTGTGTGTGTGTGTGTGTGTGTGTGTGATTTTTTCATGACGCGACCCCCAGAGGTCCCGACCCCTTCCCCGGGACCGGTTTTTCATCCCGATTCGGTTTTTTAACGATCCCGAGGCCGGGCAAGGGCCGTCAGAGGCCTCAAATGGCGAAAAACTTCCCGTCGTGATTTTTTCACGACGCGAGGAGGTCTGGGGACGAGGTGCGGCGGATCCGACGTCGGGGTGCCTCCTCACCGCCGTGCACGGCTCCAGCCGGGAGCCTGGGCCGCCGCACCTGCGGAAGGCGTGCACGCTCGGCGCGCCTGCGTGCCCTGGCAGCCCCCTCGCCTCGGCCGCGCTCGTCTTAAATCGGGCCTGTCCCTCTACAGGAGGAGTATTCCAAAATAGTCCAAAAGATAATATGGGGACGATGTCTTGACCATTTTCGACCATTTGGGGGGTATTTGTTGAGCTTCTCTAACAAACGAAAAAACAAAAAGTCGCCCGAAATCCCCCTGTCTGGGGGAACGCGCCCGACCTAACGCTCGTCCCCTCCCCTCGTCTCCGCTGCATGTCGTTTGCCATGTGCGACCCCCGCCCAAAACCGTGGCCCGCCCGCGCCGTGCGACCGCCATGTGCCGCGGCGACGAAGCCTGAGATGCGGGCGCTGCCATTTTTTTCAAGCCGGGCGCTCCTGCCCGATTCCCAGACCTCCTCGCGTCGTGGAAAACATATCGCGACGGAGGCTTTTCGCTGTTTTCGGCCTCCGGGGGCCCTTCCCGGGCCTCGGGACCGTCAAAAAACGACTCAGGACGAAAAGCCGGTCCCGGGGAGAGGGTCCAGACCTCGGGGGGGGGGGTCGACGTCGTGAAAACGTCACGACGTCGGGGGTCTGGGTTCTGGGCCGCAGGACCGTCGCGTATCGACCCGGCCCGAAACATGCGGCAGAAGATGGGGGTCTAGGGATCTGGTTGCGACTGTTCTCGACCTTGCACTCCCCAGACCCCCTCGCGTTGTGAAAAAATCACGACGGGAGGTTTTTCGCTATTTTCAGCCTCCAAGGGCCCTTACCGGGCCTCGGGACCGTCAAAAAACGACTCAGAACGAAAAACCGGTCCCGGGGAAGGGGTCCAGACCTTTGGGGGTCGCGTCATGAAAAAATCATGACGTCGGGGGTCTGGGTCTGCCGCAGCGTCGGGTCTCAGGGAACAGCGTGCGGTTGGCCAACCCGGGCCCCAAGCAGTGGGCCCTGGCGTGCTCGACGCTCAGATTTTCGAAGGAACCTGACCTGTTCAACCCCAGCGTCTTGTTTTCCGATTTTTTCGGCCACGCCGGGGGCGGGGAGAAGAGCGTTGCCGGTCCGTTGCAGCACGCCTGAAGGAAGGCGCGGAGATCGAGGAGGAAGGCGGAGGGCTGGGTGGAGGGTGGGGTGGAGGAGGAGGAGGAGGAGGAGGAGGAGGAGGAGGAGGAGAGGAGGAGGAGGATGAGGAGCAGGAGGAGAGGAGGGGGCGGAGGAGGAGAGGAGGAGGAGAGAAGGAGGAGGAGGAGGAGGAGGAGGAGGAGGAGGGGTGGAGGAGGAGGGAGGAGGAGGGAGGAGGAGGAGGAGGAGGAGGCAGAGGAGGGAAGGAGGGCGGCTTCTGCTGCGGGCCCTCCTCTTCCTCCGCCCCCTCCTCCTCCTTTGCCTCTCCCACTGATCCTCACTGCTGCTGCTGCTGCTGCTCCTCCTCCTTCTCCTCCTCCTCGTCCTCCTCCTCCTCCTCCTCCTCCTCCTCCTCCCCCTCCTCCTGGGATCAAGGGCGGGGTGGGCCAAGATCATCGGGACCCCTGGAGGTGCCGACCCTTCCCCAAGGGCCGGCCCCGGGCCGTGTTCTGGCGTCCCCGCGGGCGCGTGGCCCGGCGAGGGCCCCACGGGGGTGCCGAGGGCGGCGAGTTGCTTCCACACCGCCTCTGGCCCGAGGCGCGGAGCGGTTCCGCGGACGACACGTGTGCACAGGAGCTGCGCGCGCCCCTCGCTGAGTGCCCGCGCGGGCGCGCGCGTCCCTCCCTCGCCCCCTTCCCCCCTCGCCCCTCCCGCGCGCACCTCCCGTCGTTCGTCCGTCGTCCGTCGCTCGCCTGTCGAGTAGTGCAATGGGCCCCGCCCGCGCCGGCAACGTCAAGGCTTCGCCGCACAGGCGTCGGCCCTCGGGGCCGCACAGGACGATGTGTGGACCGTGCCGTGCTGGGCCGGGGCCTGGAGGGAGTGCAGGCACGGTGCGATGCATGGGCGCCGCTCTCGCAGAGAAGGCGCCGAAGCGAAGCAGCCGCGGTGGATCCGTCTGTCATGGCCCTGGGGCCCAGGCGTGGCCTCCGAGGGCCGCGATCGAGAACAAAGGCCCAAGGTCGCACAGGTCAGGTCGTCGGAGGTCTGGGCCTATCGTGCCACGGCTTGGGCCTTTGGCGGCCGTCCGTGGCGCCTCCGCCACGCCCGCGGAGCGCCTCTGGCGAGGCGCGGCTGCTGGAAAAAGCCTCCCGAGGCGGAGGCACCTCACAGGAAGCAGCTGGAGCTTCCGTGTGGGCGCGCTGGGGGTGTGGGCCCCGCGCCCCGGCCGCAGAGCTCCAGGCCGCCTCCCTGGGGCCAGCTGGTTTCGTCCCGGTCTCTTCTCCACTGCCCCGATCTCGGGCTTCGAAGCCCGAACTCCAGAAGAGTCCTGCCGGCCGAAAGTCACTCCATCCTCGGCGACGACGATAACGACGACGACGACGACGACGACGACGACGACGACGACGACGACGACGACGACGACCACGACCACGACCACGGCCACGACCACGACCACGACCACGACCACGACCACGACCACGACCACGACCACGGCAACGACGACCACAGCCACGACGGCGACGACGACGACGACGACGACGACGACGGCGGCGACGACGACGACGGCGGCGGCGGCGGCGGCGGCGGCGGCGACGCGGGAGACGGCGACGGCGACGGCGGCGGCGGCGGCGGCGACGACGACGCGATTCTGTCAGCACGCTGGGCGGCCTGCGCCCCTCGCTGCCCGCAGGGCGCGCACGCGTGGCGCGCGCGCGGGGCGCACGCGCGGCGCGCGGGCGGCCACGCCCCGGCCCTCGCGGCGCGGCGGTGGCGGGCCATGCCGCGCACGGCGGCGGCCGCGGCGGCCGCAGTGCCGGGCGCTGGAGCGCCGCCACGACGTCGAGCCGTGCGCCTCGTCGTCGTCGTCGTCGTCGCCGCCGCCGCCGCCGCCGCCGTCGTCGTCGTCTTCGGCGGCGTCGTCGGCGTCGCCGTCTTTCTAGTTAGTGTAGTTGTCGTGGCCGTCGTCGTCGTTGTCGTCGTCGTCGTTGTTGTAGTTGTCGCGGTCGTCGTCGTCGTCGTCGTCGTCGTCGTCGTCGTCGTCGTCGTCGTCGTCGTCGTCGTCGTCGTTGACGTCGTCGTCGTTTGTAGGCGTCGTGGTCGTCGTCGTCGTCGTCGTCGTCGTCGTCGTCGTCGTCGTCGTCGTCGTCGTCGTCGTCGTCGTCGTCGTCGTCGTTGTGGTTGTCGTCGTGCTAGTCGGCGTCGTCGTTGCCGCAGCCGCCGCCGTCGTCGTTGTCGTCGTCGTCCTCGTCGTCGTTGGCGTGTGTTCGTCATTGTCGTCGACATGCAACTGGTGGATGCTTCACACGTGCAAGTCTGGGCGCGTAGGGGGTATCGAACTTGCGCCTGGCGCGTGCGCATGTGGGATGTGTTTTCACGTGCAAAGGCGCTACTATGGAGATCCAATGTGTGGGCTGCGGGATACTCAAGCATGCGAGCATGGCGGGCTGTATCCAGCGTGCGTCTGGCGCGTGAGCATTTGGGACGCGTCTTCACGTGCGTAGACGCGAAAAGGGATATCCATGCGTTTGGCGTCTGTATGCATCTGTGTTTCGACTTCGGCAAGTGGTCGGCGGATACCCTGGACGTGAACATACGTGCGCGGAGGGGGGTCCAAGATGCGTCTGGCGCGTGCGCATGTGGGACGTGTGTTCACGCGTGCAGCGCCGAGGAGGGTATCCAACAGGTGGTCGGCGGACTCTTCACATGTAAAGGCACGTGCGCGGAGGGGGTCTACAACATGCGCCTGGCGCGTGCACGTGCGAGACCTGCTCGCGGCCCCCGCCGCCCGCGCCGTGACTTGTTTTGCCACGGCGCGACCTCAAGGCCTGGGCGCGCCGCGACCGCGCCTGGCGCGCTCGTTTCTCCTCCTCCTCCTCCTCCTCCTCCTGCTCCTCCACCTCCTCCCCCTCCTCCTCCTCCTCCTCCTCCTCCTCCTCCTCCTCCTCCTCCTCCTTCTCCTCCTCCTCCTCCTCCTCCTCCTGCTCGCCTCCTCCTCCCCCTCTTCCTCCTCCTCCTCCTCCGCCTCCTCCTCCTCCTCTTTCACTCCTTCTGCTCCCTCCTCCTCCTCCTCCTCCTCCTCCCTCCTCCTCCTCCTCCTCCTCCTCCTCCTCCTCCTCCTCCTCCTCCTTCTCCTCCTCCTCCTCATTTTTGTTCATGACGCCGACCCCCAGAGGTCTCGCCCCGTTCCCTGGGACTGGTTTTCCACCCCGAGTCGTTCCTTCACGGCCTTGGGGCCCAGGCAGGGGCCACCAGGGGGCTGGACATAGCAAAAAGTCGGCCGTCGCGATTTGTGTATGACCGAGGGAATCTAGGTATTTCTTCCGATCCATGGATCTGGCGCCCATTCGCCAGTTCCACGGATCCGTGATCCATGTTGGCGTGTGCCCGATCCATTGGGCCCTAACCATCCCAGAGCCTCCTCCTCGTCCTTGTCCTCCTCGCTCCTCCTCGCTCGTCCTCCTCGTCCTCCTCGCTCCTCCTCCTCCTCCTCCTCCTCCTCCTCCTCCTCCTCCTCCTCCTCCTCCTCCTGCTCGTTCCTCTTCATACTTCTCCTCCTCCTCCTGTTTCTCCTCCTCTCCCTTATCCCTCCTCTCTCCTCCTCCCGCCATGACCCGACTGGCGTTCGACCCGCGCCCGGCGGGCGCGTTCGACCCGCGCCAGGACGCCCGGCCGTGCGGCCCAGCTGCCAGGCGCCGCGGCCCTCCGCTTCAGGAGGCGTGCCCGCGCCCCGCGCGCGCCGCCCCGGCACACCGCGCCTCGGCGCGCGTTCGCCACCGCCGGCAGTGGCTCCGCCGCCGTCGGCGCTGCCGCCGCGACCGCCGACCCAGAGTTCCTCCCCCTCCATTGCTCCTCCTCCTCCTCCTCCTCCTCCTCCTCCTCTACCTCCTCCTCCTCCTCCTCTTTCTCCTCTGCTTCCTCCTCCTCCCCCTCCTCCTCCCCCTCCATTGCTCCTCTCCTCCTCCTCCTCCTTCTCCTCCTCCCTCTCCCTCTTCTCCTCTGCTTCCCCTTCTCCCCTCCTCCTCCTCCTCCTCCTCCTCTGCTCCTCCTCCTCCTCCTCCTTCTCCTCCTCCCTCATCCCTCCTCTCCCTCCTCCCTCCTCCCTCCTCCCTCCCTCATCCCTCATCCCTCATCCATCCTCCTCCCTCCTCTCTTTCCTCCCTCCTCCCTCCTCCCTCCTCCCTTCTCGTAGTGGTATTCGGGTGTTCGAGGTTCACGGTTTTCGGACGTTTCTCAGTTTTCGAGGTAGGACGGAAATTCTGAGGCTGGAGGTTTTCGCACGTCTTCGTCTGTTCTCAGCAGTTCTCCAGCCTCGGGATGCATTCCAGCAGCTGCGCCTGGCCGAGAGGCGTCCGGGCGTGCCTGGATCGTCCCCAACGGCAGCCAGAGGCCCGAGCTTCACTCGAAGACCACGCCTTGACCTCGGAAAGCTTGCACTTGTCGGGCGATTTCGTGAGCAGGGCAAAGATACCCGCCCTACTGTTCGAGCTCCTTTGATTCCGCCCAGCTCTGCCGTCGCTGTTCCCGCCATACTTTGGCGGAGATGCCCATCCGATTTGAGGCAGCAATTCCCGCCCTACTCTTTCGCTTCTTCTGGGGTGCATGTCGGGCAACTTCCCGAGAATCCGCCAGCATACGGCGGATCCGAAGTCGGGCGGGGGGTGCATGTCGGGCAATGTCCCGAGAGTCCGCCAGCGTACGGCGGATCCGAAGTCGGGCGGGGGGCTGCATGTCGGGCTGTGTCCCGAGAGTCCGCCAGCGCACGGCGGATCCGAAGTCGGGGGGGGGGGGCGAGGGCCCCGAGGGACTTTGGGGCGGCGCGATCTGCACACGTCCACCGCTCCTGGCCAAGCCCGCCCTGGGCCCAGGCGCGGTGCCTGCGCCCTGGCTGTCTCGGCCAGGGGGGAGGGCAGCCCCAGACGCCCCCCGTCGTGCCCCCCTGCCGCAGCGTGGACAGGGAGGTCTGGGACGCTTCCCGGGGGGAAGCGGACGACTCACCCGTCCGCCCGTCCTGCTCCTCCTCCTCCTCCTCCTCCTCCTCCTACTCCTCCTCCTCCTCCTCCTCCTCCTCCTCCTCCTCCTCCTCCTCCTCCTCCCCTCCTCCTCCTCCTCCTCCTCCTCCTCCTCCTCCTCCTCCTCCTCCTCCTTCCTCCTCCTCCTCCTCCTCCTCCTCCTCCTCCTCCTCCTCCTCCTCCAGCAGCGGACCACGTGTCCGCGCCACCTACGCGCCCCAGCCGCCGCCGCCCGCGGTGCGGTCCCACCGCCAGGCGCCTCCGGTGCGGTCCCACCGCCAGGCGCCTCCGGCGCAGCCCCACCGCAAGGGGAGGCCGCCGCCGCACGACACCACCCCGACATCGGCGCCAGGTACGGGGGCTGCCCCCCCGTCGGGGGACCCGTACCCTTTTCTCTCCCCAGGGGGGACGAGCCCACGCCCCTGGCAAGCCAGGGGTCCGCCCGTCGACGGCCCTGGGGAGCAGCCGACCCCGAAACGGTTGTGGGCAGCGGCCTCCAGCGCTCGCGCCCCTCCGCCGCTCGCCCGCTGCCCTGCCGGTCCGCGAGCCTCCTCCAGCTCGCAGCGGCGCCCCCGGCCTTGCCCGCGCGCGCCCGCAGCCCAGCCGCCCCGCAGGCCCCCTGCAGCCCCCCAGCCCCCAGCCGCAGCCTGGCTCCCCGGCGCGCCGCCCCGCCGCCCGCTGGGCGCCGCCCGGAGCGCGGCGGCCGCCCGCCAGGGCCTGGCCTGGGTGGCGGCCAGCACCGCGTCCGCAGCGTGCCGCTGCAGCACGCAGCCAAGGGCCTGCTGGAGCTCGCGGATGGCCGCCGAACGCCCCGCGTCGTCAGCAGGCGCCAGCCTCTTGGCGAGGGCCGCCGCTTCCTCCCCCAGCCGCCCGTGGTCCTCCACTACGAAGGGCAGCACGGGCACCAGAGGATAGCGAGCTCGCTTCCTTCTTTCCGCTGCTGCTGCGGCAGCCCCGTCCCTCCTCGCAGCCCCGAGCGCCAAGGCGTCCTGGGAAACCGCGCTGACGACCGCGAGGTCGACCAAAAGCGGTCCAGCGGCGCCGGGCGCGTGGATCACTAGGTCCATGCGCGCCTCGGGGCTCTGCGGAGAGGCGTGCGGGAGCAGCACCTCGCGGTGCACCGAGCAGCCCTGCGCCTCGCACCACTCCGCGAGCGCTGCGCACCCCGCGTCGTGCCGGCGGACGAGCCAGCCGCCGACCGGGCAGGCCCGCGCGTGTCTGCCCTTCGGGTCGAGCGGCGCGCCACAAGTCCCGCCATTGGGGTGGCGGTGCTGGCAGAGCCCAGTGCAGCCCGGCAGGTCGAGGTTCAGGCGAACTCCCATTGCGATGCTGAACTGCGCGTTGCTCAGGCGGTGGCGCGCCTTCGTGGGGGCCTGCAGCCAGCCGCTCGCCCCTGCCCCCCTGCTGAGCGCAAGGCAGCCGCCGCGGGAGGGCCCTCGCCTGCCGCGAGGTCGGCGACCAGGCGGGCAGCCGCAGCGAGAGGGGCCGTAGCCAGTGAGTGCTGCGTTGCTGCCAGTCCTTCGTCGCCCACCTGGGCCGTAGTGTCCCCCAGCGCCTCCTGCAGCGTGGCCGTGGCCGCAGGGAGGCAGCGCCTCGCCCAGGGGCTGAGGGCGGCCAGGGCGCTGGCGTCCGTCAGTCCCAGCCTGCTCAGGCAGTGCGGCACGCTGTGGTGCCAGGAAGCGGCGTGGGCGGCAGGCGCGGTCAGCTCCACGCTCTGGAACCCAGCGCCGCCGTCCTTCCCAGCGAGGAAGAGCTGCTTGCCCGCCGTGCTGCTCAGCTGTTGTAGTCCGAGGGCGTGCTGCGCCTCCGCCGCTAGCGCTGCGTCCATGGCCCGGGCCTCAGCCTCCGGGATGCCACAAGTGCGGGCCACGAACGTGTAGTCAGAGCCCGTCTTGAGTCGGAGCAGCGCCGCAGCAGTCTGTCGGTCGAGTCCCGCCGCCTGCAGCTGGCGCAGCCGCAGGAAGAAGCGCGCGCGCTTCTCTGCCAGCGCGGACACCTCTGGGCTCCCCTCGGCCAGGATGCTCCCCGCGGCTGGGGCGACAGCAGGGGCCGCGGGCACCGCCGGGAAGGTCCCGTGCCTTAGGACGAGCGCCCGCGGCTCCACCTCCCACCGGCCCGTCAACGCGGCCACCGGCACCTCCCTGCCAGGACTCAGCTTGGCCTTCGACGGGTTGGGCCGCAGTCGCACTTCGGCGCAAGCCCGCCCGAACGCCTCCTCTGCGGGCTGCGCGGCCGCCGTGGCACAGACGACGTCGAGGTCGTCCTGGTAGGCGTAGCTCCTCCCAGGGTCCGTTTCGAGGCCCGCCGCGCGCTCCACGGCATCCACCACCTTCTTGCAGCAGAGCGGGAAGACCATGTTGGTCAGGCCGTCCCCTTGGTCTCCGCCGCGCTCCTTCGGGAGCTGCGTCCTCGTGCCGTCCCGCGCGACGCGAACGTGCTCGGTGGCGGTGCTCAGGGCCAGGCGGGTCCACGGGAGCAGGTCAGGGACCAACTCCTGAACCGCCCTGGCGGCGGCCTCGCGGCAAAACTCGCTGTGGGCATTGCTCACGTCCAGCGCGAGCTTGCAGCACCCAGGCCGGGTGTCGAGGTCCAGGAGTGCCGCCTTGTGCATGCGCTCCGCCCCACGTGCTTCCCCGACTGAGTACTCCTTGCCCCCGAGGGCTGCCGCGACCCTGCTGCGGAACACGCGGCCGACTGCCTTGGACGCGGCCCGCCTGTGCACGCCCCCCAAGGCGAAGGGGCGGACTTTGTCCCGCTCCTCCCGGTCGCCTGCCAGGATGCGCGCCGACAGCCATGGCCCGTGGACCTCCGCGGCCACCTGTCCGAGCTGCAGCTTGAGCGCTACTTCTGCGAAGCTTTCCCAGTGCGCCGAGTACCCCGGCATCCACGACCAGTGCTCGTTCCTGGACCCGCCGGGGCCCGCGCCTCTGTTGCGAGGCGCGTGGCGGTACGCCTTCTGCAGCTCCACCAGAAAGCTTGCGGTGTCCTCCTCCGACGGCCGGCTCTCAGGCAGCACTGGTTGAGCTTCAGCTCGGGGGAAGAGGTCTGGGAGACATCGCCGCGCTTTCGCGTCGGGTGCCAGCTCGAGCCTGCCGCCCACGACCCTCAAAGCCTCCCGCAGGTCTTCGTCAGCGAAGGCCTCGGCCACACTCGCGACGTCTCTGGCCAGTTGCTGTGCCTGAGTCGGGGCAACGCTGCCCTCCCCAGGGCGCGGCGCCGCCGACTCCTGCCACAGCACGCCCCGCGCGCCCTCCCAAGCCAATCTGGTGCGTCTGGCAAGGGTCCGCGCCAGCGTCTCTCCTCGTTGGCCTCGCGCTCCTCCTCTCCTCTTCCGCGCCGCCGCGAAAAGCAGCCGATCCAGAAAGCAAAAGGCCTTCAAGTTCCGCGCCTCCTCCTGCCCCCCGCTCGCTCCGAGCACGGCTTCCGGAGGTCCGCAATCGCGTAGCGGACGGCCTCCGGCACAACGCGGACCGTAGGGATGGGGTCGTGCAGCTCTTCCCAGGAGATCCCGCCCTAGAAGCCCATGTGCAGCAATTGTCCGTACTGCACCGCGTCGCCCGGCTCCAGCTGCGGCGGAGCCGCGGCCTCCTCAGCCAGGGCGGGGGCGGCTGCCCCAGGCTCTACTCCTCCACCTTCTCCCCCTCCTCCTCCTCGCATTCCTCCCGCAGCTGCGTGCGCAGTTTGCGCCTCGAGCTGCCTCTCCGGGCGAAGGGAGGCCCAGCCCTCTAGACCCTCGACCGGGCCGCACAGGTGGGCCACACACCCTATGTGGTGCACCCGTGCGCCAGGCCCGCCGCGGCGTACTCGAGGCGCCCTGGCGGGGACCTCTCCGAGGCACGTCGCGCACATGGCCATGCTCCGCGACGTAGGGGCTGAGATGGCCCAGGCTGGTCCTGCTGCCGACTCCACGGCACCCGCCCCGTCCTCGTCCACCTGCATGGCCCCGCCCTCGCCACCAACCTGGCGCCGCCGCCGCTGCCCACGCGCCGCGGATGCCACGTCGACGTCACCCTCCATCGCCCCAGAGGGGGGGGGGGGGGGGAAATAGGAGGGAACAGGGATGAGTAGAGTGAGCGGGGGAGGGAGGGCCCGCCCGGGCAGTGGCTGCGGCGACTCGTGCCCCTGCTCCTCCCCCTTCCGTCTCCTCCCCCCGGGCCTGGCCATGGGGCAGGGGGCGCGTGCAGCTTCGCGTCGCCCCCGTGGCGCCCCCCGCCGCGCGAGGGCGCGCTGGGGCGCGGGGCGCTGGGACGGCCCCGCGAGGGCGGTAGGCGGCCTCGGGCTCCCGCCCGGGCCCTCCTCCGCTCGCGCGGCTCTGCCGCGTGGCCGTCTTGGCGCCGGCGCGAGGAGCAGCTCGGGTTCCCTCGGCATCGTTGAAGCGATCCCCATCCCCATCCCCATCCCCTGCGAGACCCCCACCAGATTGCCACCCCAGCCCCATCCCCATCCCCACATCCCCATCCCCATCCCCATCCCCTGCGAGACCCCCACCAGATTGCCACCCCTTTGGGGGATGCGCCCCTCGAAGCCCGAAGGGGACGACCTATATGCCTATATGTATATGTATATATATATATATATATATATATATATATATATATCCCCGTCCAGGGGAGCAATGCAATCGGCCAGTGGGGCCCAGGCCGCGCCGCTGGGGATGGGGATCGGCTCCACAATGCTCCTTGCTTCTGGAGGGGGGGGGGGGCTCGAGGTCCCCTGGGGTCCTGCCACGGCGGCTCCTCCCGCGCGGGCGGCGCTCGCCTCTCCTCTCCTCGTGGCGGCTCCGCTGCGTGGGCAGTCGCGGCGCCGGCGCGAGGAGCAGCTCGGGTTCGGGGGGGGGGGGGGGGGGGGGGCTCGAGGTTCCCTGGGGTCCTGCCGCGGCGGCTCCTCCAGCCCCCCTCGTGCGCGCGGGCGCTCTCGAGGCCAAAAAAGGGGGCCTCGTTCCTCGCGGATCGGTCCTCGCGTCAGCAGCCCGACTGCAGGCGAGCTGCAGGAGCCGGCCTGCAGCGGCCCTGTGCGCAACATGGTGGGGCGGCGAGGCCATCGAAGCACGCCCGGCGGGCGTCGTGAAGGGCAGGAGAGGCGCGGGCCTGCGAGGGCACAGGAGAATATCCTCGTGCGGCGCTCCTTGCTCGTCCTCGCCGCGATGGCGTCCTGCTGCTCCTCCTCCGCCCCCCCCCCGCCGTCCTCGTCCTCCCCCCGTCCCTCCTCTGGCGCTTCGGCTCCCGGGGCCTCCCTCGGCGTTGCCTCCGTCTCCCCTCGCTCCCATTGCCTCGTCGCCTCCTCTCCTCCGCCCCCCGCCCCAGAGTGGACCATTTTGTGCTCTGGCTTGCGTTCTGCTTGCTCCTTCCCGCGTCCTCGGTCCTCCTTCCCCCTCTCCGTTTTTGTTTGCCCTCTCCCGCATGCCTCACGCCTCCTCCCTCCCTCCCTCCCTCCCCCCCTTTCTATCTCCCCTTCTCTCTCTCTCTCTCTCTCTATATATATATATATATATATATGTATTTCTCCTTCTCTCTCTCTCTCTCTCGGGCCGCTCCCCCCCCTCCGTCCTCGTTTTCTCTTTTCTACCCAGAATTGATCATCTCTCGCGCTGTTTCGTTCTGCCTGCCCCTTCCTGCGTCCTCGGTCCTCCTTCCCCCTTTCGTCGTAGTCTTGCCCTTCGTGTTTCTCCATTCCCCTTTCTACCTCCCCGTCTCTCCCTCTCTCGGGCCCCCCCCCTCCATCCGTCCTCGTTTCCCCCTTCCTCCCGTCTCCTGCCTCCCTCGCCCTTCTTCCCTCCCCCCCCCTCCCGTCTTCCCCCCCCTCTCTCCTGCACGCCCTCATCCTTCCGTCCCGTTCGCCCGTACTCTCTCTCTCTCTCTCTCTCCCTCTTTCTGTCTCTCTCGCTCGCTCTCTCTCTCTCTCTCTTTTTGTTTCTCTCTCTCTCTCTCTCGCTGCCTCCTTCCTTTCTATCTCCCCCTTCCCCACCCCGGAAGGATGAGGAGGAGGAGGAGGAGGAGGAGGAGGAGGAGGAGGAGCAGGAGCAGGAGCAGGAGCAGGAGCAGGAGCAGGAGCAGGAGCAGGAGCAGGAGCAGGAGCAGGAGCAGGATCAGGAGGAGGAACAGGAGCAGGAGCAGGAGCTGGAGGAGGAGGAGGAGGAGGAGGAGGAGGAGGAGGAGGACGAGGAGGAGGACGAGGAGGACGAGGAGGACGAGGGAGGAGGACGAGGGAGGAGGACGAGGGAGGAGGAGGAGGAGGAGGAGGAGGAGGAGGAGGAGGAGGACGAAGGAGGAGGAGGAGGAGGAGGAGGAGGAGGAGGCGAGCGGCACGGGCAGCAGCAGGGGCCCTCGCTCACTCCGTGCCCTGCCCAACTTTGTCCCACGACGTGCGCCGCTGCCGCCGCGACTCCGACGGCGAAGGCCTCTCCAGCGAGGCCGCGGCCCCGGACCGTCCCTGGCAGCGCGCACCGCCACCGCGCCCGCGCCGCCAGAGGGCCCTCGTAAGACGCCCGCGACGCAGCCGTTTTTGCACTGCGGCCGCCGCGGGCCAGATCTGTTTTTTCCCCTGATCCCAGACGTATGACCGCGTCGTAGAAAAGGTCGGGGCGGGAGGTTGTTGGCTGGTTTCGGCCTCGGGGGGCCCTCGCCGGGCCTCGGGGCCGTCCAACAACGACTCAGGACGGGAAAAACCGCTTCTGGGGAAAGGATCGTGGCTTCCAGGGACCCCGGATGGAAAAAATCAAGGCGTCGCATGTCTGGGATCGCGCCGCCCGCCCGCCCGCCGCACGCCTGCTGCCCACGCCGCCAGCCGTCGCCAGACAGCCGTCCCCCGGCCCAGGACCCTCGACGCCGTGATTTTGTTTCTCGTAGCGCGGATTCCCAGCGGTCTGGACCCATGCCCCGGGACCCGGTTCTCATCTCGAGCCGTTTCTTGATGGGCCCGAGGGCCGGCGAAGGCCCGCAGAGCTCGCAAACACCGAGCCGCCTCCCGCCACGTTTTTTTGTTTGTTCGCGACCCGAGGGGGTCTGAGGGCGTCCGTCGGTGTTTCTGTGTTCGGTCCGCGGCTGCCTCGACCCCAGAGGAGGAGGAGGAGGAGGAGGAGGAGGAGGAGGAGGAGGAGGAGGAGGAGGAAGGGAGGAAGAGGTGGAGGTGGAGGAGGAGGAGGAGGAGGAGGGAGGACGACGAGGACGACGAGGACGAGGAGGAATCGGTGGAGGAGGAGGAGGAGGAGGAGGAAGAGGAGGAGGAGGAGGAGGAGGAGGAGGTGGAGGTCCATCGCCAGAGTGCAACTCCCGGGAGGTCAAACTCAGCGCCGGCGCTGAGATACCGGTGGTCGAAGGCCTGCCCGGCCCACGTAGTCCGGCATGACCCCCTCCAGTCTGGCTTCATCCAGCTCGTCTGGCCCAGTGCGGCTTGCTCCTGAGCTCAACCTGGCCCGCTGGACCCCGGCCTCGTGGCCCCCGCGTCGGGGCGCCTTTTGCCCCCGCTCGTTCCCGCGAGGTCCTCCCGCGGACTGCCTCCGACCCGTCGGCGAGAGCCTTGAAGAAGACAAATCGCCACAAGCATACTGTAGACTTTTGGCGCGCCGCGCGGATTTCTCGGATCCGCGCTGGGGCCCCCCTGGCGGCGCCTCCGGCGCCGCCACTGGCGCGCTCCGCGCGCCAGGGATGGGGGTGCAGCGCCGATCCGAGAAGTCCGCGCGGCGCGCCGGGAGGTTATGTTTATGCCGCGGAGGTCGCGGCAGGTGCAGGTCTGACAGGCCTGCATTTCCACCACCACCACCACAGGTCGGAGGGTGGAGGAGGAACCTCCCCCTCCTCCTCCTCCTCCTCCTCCTCCTCCTCCTCCTCCTCCTCCTCCTCCCCTCCTCCTCCTCCTGCCTCCTCCTCCTCCTCCTCCTCATCCGGCGCCCGGCAGAACGAAGCATGCGCCGTGTGCCCAGCAGGCGCACGGGCAGCAAGGGCAGCAGCAGGTGTCAGGCAGGCGCTGCTGCGCGAGAGAGGTGCGGTTAACCAGGAGGGCCGAGCGAGGCAAGGGTAAGTGGCCTTCGGGGCGGCCCCTCGTCGCCACGGCTGGACGCTTCGCGGCAGACTGGCGCGTTTGGACCTCGCGAGGGGTCCGGGGACCGATAGTGAGCGGCGGCTGCATCAGCGCGCCCTGCTCCCACGAAAGATGCAGGTCGAGGGCCCCCTGTTCCACCCAGGGGCACCTCTTCGTCCTGGGTCCGTTTTCCACAGCCCCGCGGGCCACGATAGCGACCCCATGGAGGCGGGAAAGAGTCACAGGCAACGCTGGGACTGTACAAAGCAGGCTGTCGGAAGGCTTGGGGCCGTGTGCACAGGCACCGGAGATATTCAGGAGGGAAACAACACACAGACACAACTCATCGTCGATTCCCAGGAAAATATGCGAAGATAGGGGAAGTGGGGGGGGACGACGAACATTCAGAAAGTAGGGGAAGATATGGGGAATCCTGTTACTTGTGTCTATTTATTTGTGTGTCCCAGGGCCCCTTCAGATAGGACTGCGCAGCGCGCGGCCTATCAGATTTCCCGACCCCTGCCCCCGCCCACCCGGGGGGCAGCTGCCGGTGGTGGCCTCGCGGGGCGCGACAGCGGGTCCCAGTGAGCGACCCTGAGATCCGACGGCGCGAAGAAACGCAGCAACACGGTTCAGAGGCGACGATAGGGGCGAATAGCCCAGGGGAGAGCAATACATGTATTCAGGTGCGCCGGTGATCTATGTCTTCGAAAAGGCTCCCGGTTGAACACGTGTGCCCGCCCCTGGGCTATTCGCCCCTATCGTCGCCGTCGGAGCATCGCGACCAGCTAGGTTTGTGACAGCACTCTCCGCGCCAGATCGACTTGTGAAAGTGCCATTTAACAGAAACGTTTAATTATTCTAATGCAATTCCCCAATCCGTGCTTGCACTGAAGGGGTCCTAGCGGAAGTTGAAAGATCAGGCGAAAGTTTCCCGCCGATTTTGGTAGCAGGCTGGGTTCCCGGGTTCCCGGTTCCCGGTTTCTGGGTATTGGTTCCGGGCCGATTTCGGTGGGTTTTGGGTTCTTGGGCTCCCGGGTTCCCCGTCGATCTCCTCAGTGAAAACTGGAAACCATCCGTTGTTCGGGGCTTTCCCCTAGTGTGACTATTCTGACACAATCTAGCAATCAAGCAATCCTTGCGGTCATGCCTGGTCGTGCCTGACAATGGGCAGCGCCCACATCTCGGGTGGGGTCGAGGAGGAGGAGGAGGAGGAGGAGGAGGAGGAGGAGGGGGAGGAGGAGGAGGAGGAGGAGGAGGAGGAGGAGGAGGAGGACGAGGGATATGCGGTCTGGAGCTTTGGCTTCGCGCGTCGCTCTGCTGGTTCTGGCCCACCGCGCCTCGGCGCGACGGGCTGGGCCCACGCGGTCCCCGCCGCCTTAAGCGTCGGCGTCTCGAGCGTTCCCCGGCCTCCCGCCCCGCGGCGCGGAGCAATTCGCTCGCAGGACACCGCGCGTCGCCGGGGCCGCCGCCGCGACACGCTCCACTACGATCCTGGCGTCGTGCCTTTTTCGCAGCGGGCGTTTTCGCCCCGTTTCGAGCCCCGATGCAGCTCGACAGATGACGCAGGGGTCCAGGGCTCCTGGTGTGTGTTTGGGTGTGTGCGGGTGTGTGTTTTTTTTCAATTGTTTTTTAAACGATGTTGCAATGTATCCCTTACGTCGGATTTCAGGGTAAGCATAAGTACCCGACCGCATCCAAGACGGTCGAGGGGGAACGCCAGGACGTCAGATCGTCGGATACCCTCGACCTGCACCCTCCGCACCTTCCGCGCGTAGAGCGCCGCCGCTGCGGCCTCGACGCTGGCCGCCGCTGCGGCCGCGGCGGCGGCCGTGGCAGCGCGGCACCTGCCGCGCGGAAGCCGCGGCAGCTGCAGGTCGGGGCCCGTTGGACGTGGCCAGGCAGGGCGGCCCTGGGATCCGCGGGGAGGTCGCGGAGAGACGCCGGGATGGAACAAACATCAAAGCCGGTCGTCGAGGGCACCTGTTCCAAGCAGTTCGGGCGGCCCTGTGATGCCCGTGCGCCCCTCGCGCGCCCTGGGCTCCGCGGGGTGCCTCGCCGCGGCCGCGCCGCAGCGGGCGCCGCCGGCCGCCCCGCGCGGCGCCGCCGGGCGCGGCGCCGCGGCGGCCGCGGGCGCGGGCGCGCGCCAGGGCCTCGGGGCGCGCGGCTGGCCAGAGGCCGCGGCCTCGGCGGGCGGGGCGGGGCGGCGGCGGCCGCGGCCGTCTCGCTGGCGCGGGGGCACGGCGGCGGGCGGCCGCCGCGCTCGTGGCGGGCCGCTGGGCGGTGGCGTGCCCGCGGCGCGCGGGTCGCGGCGGCGGCCGCCGCTGCGCCCGCGGGTCGGCAGGGCCTCGGCCACAGAGTGCCCCCGCCCCCCCCCTCGGCCCACACCCTCCGCAGCTTCGGCGCGGCAGGTGCCGCGGCCACCGCGGCCTCATCGCGGCGGCACCTTCCGCGCGGAGTGTGCGGAAGGTGCAGGTCGAGGGCCATCACGGCCCCCTCCTCGGAGGGGGGCCGATGGAGACACCGGTAGTTGGCCTTCGGGGGGCCCCTTGTCGCCACCGCTGGACGCAGCACGGAAAACTGGCGCTCTTGGACCCCAGGAGAGGTCTGGGGACCGACTTTGAATTCCCAGTCACTGTCTCAACCGCCCTGCTCCGATCCTCCTCCTCCTCCTCCTCCTCCTCCTCCTCCTCCTCCTCCTCCTCCTTCTCCTCCTCCTCCTCCTCCTCCTCCTCTTCGTCCTCCTCCTCCTGCTCCGCCTCCTCCTCCCAGAAGGCCCGCGCCCTCCGCACCCTCCGCGCGGCAGGCGCCGCAAGCAGGGCAGGCATCGCCGCCCTAGTTTTTCCAGGCTCCTCGGATGCCGATCTCCGCCCTGCGTTTTGCCCTCGCGGCGTCTGCCACATAGACTCGAACGAACCGTTATCCGCTTCACTCCTTCTCGGGCGGCGGCGTCCGCCATGCTTGTTCGCCTCGTTTTGGGTGCATGCCCGACGCTCCTGCCAGACGGGACGTCGGCCCAGCTGCGCCGGGTCCGAAGTCAGGAAGGGTTTCGCTGCCCCTCTGCCCAGGGGATGGCGCGGATGCGAAGCGGAGCCGGGCGCTCTGGGAGCTGTTCTTGGCGAGCGCGTTCGTGCTCGTGGACGTGAGCCTCTTCATGTTCGAGGACGCCAGCAAGGCCAGCGGCGGGGCCTTCGCGCGGGAGGCGCTGCTGACCGTCGTCGCGGCGGCGTCGCTGCTCGTCGGCGTGGCGGTGTCCTGGTGGAAGGACGGGTGGGCAGGCTTGCGGAGGGCGCTGTGCGTCCGCCGCTGGCTGAGGCTGCTTCCTAGCTCGGGGAAGGGAAAGCAGCCGCTTCAGCACAGACTTCTGCAGCTCCGCGTGGGCCTCCTGGATCGGCGCTGGCCCCCCCCCCCGGGCGGCGCCGCTGTGGCGCCGCCCCCTTGGCGCGCTCCGCCCCTCCGGGGGGAAGAGGCGCCGATCCGAGACATCTGCACGGAGCTCGGACTGGGCGTTGCGTATAGTGGGGGGGCGATAAATGGAGGGAGGGGGGAGGAAAGGATTGGAACACATCTTGGGCCCCAAAGGGCCCCCCACGGGCCAAAAAAGGGGCACCGAAAGGCACACGCTTGTCCACCCCAGAGATGTATCGCCCACCCAATGACCAACGCCAGATCGAACAACTTGTGTTTGTGTCGCTGTTCTCTTCCTCTGCGATCGCGGCGCTGTTCTACGTGTCGAATTTGTGCCTGCTACAGGGGCTACAGCGACTCGGGCCCCTGCTGGTCAAGGTCCCACAGCTCGAGCTAGGCGGTGTTCTGGCGATGTCGTGGACCGTTTCCGTTTTGATGTCGTTTTGCCTCAACGGAGGAACGAAGACAGGACGACAAGACCAGCTCTTCCAGACACATGCCGAAACACACACACACTCACACACACACGTGTGTGTATGTGATTATATCCATATCTGTATGTATTTACGCATGTATATAAGTGTACACATGCATATACATATATATATATATATATATATATATATGTATATATATATATTTATATATATGTAAGAGAGATAGAGAGAGAGAGAGATAAACAAATCAGTTCTGATAAAGGGGACCACAGGAGTACCGAAAATGGTGTTTCGGTTGAGCCATGGCAAGGTCCTGCTGCAACTGCGGCTGCCCGCCACCGTGCTGCTGAGCATGGCGGTCCTGGGGCGCCGGTACAGATTCTACCAGGCGTGGGCAGACAGATGTCTGGGGACGGAGGGGCGGGAAGTTCCGAGGACCAAGAGGTACCAACACAGCTACTTCTGCTTCGTTTCCGCTGTTTGGGGCCTCCTGGGGGGCCCTAGTCGCCACCGCTGCATGCGCCTCGACATTCTGGTCGGAGCGCGCTCTGGGGGAGTTCCGGGCAGCAGCGCTATCGGTACATCTTGGCTTCCCCAGGGAGAAGCAGGCGGCGGCGGCGGCAGAGGGAAGCAAGGACGGACGCAGCAGCCGAGCCTGCACAGGGCAGACGGGAGGACTTGCAGGAACAAAAGCACGGCCCTGAGCGCGACGGGGCTCGCGTGCCAACCCACAGGGGCCCTTCTCCAGACAACAAAAAAACGCCTGAGGTGAGCCTCCGTCACCAGCACGGTGTCAGAGCCAGCAAGCGGGGGCGGTGGCAGAGGCAGGAAGGCAGAAGGGAGGAGGTGGATCAGAAGGGGGAGTTGGACAGCATGTGTGTTGCTCGGCTGCCCGTGCTGTTGTAGCAGGCGATCGCAAGCACGGGTTGAGGAGGCGTGGATCAGCGACGGGTCCCGTTCCCATGGGAGATCGCGGATGCGGCACCAGGCGCATTTTGGGGAGGGCACCTCCCTCGATCCATGGATTCGGCGGCCGCGAGCTAAATCCATGGGTCGCTAATCCATGGTTGCGCGCTCCCGATTGTAGGGGTACGGGCTTGCCTCCTGGCTGGCGTGGCGCTGCTCGCCTTCCTGTCTGGTTGCCGCTCGTCTGTTAGCAGGAGGAGGAGGAGGAGATGGAGGAGGAGGAGGAGGAGGAGGAGGAGGAGGAGGAGGAGGAGGCGAGGAGGAGGAGGATGATGAGGAGGGCGAGGAGGAGGAGGAGGAGGAGGAGGAGGAGGAGGAGCAGGAGGAGGAGGAGGAGGAGGGCGAGGAGGAGGAGGATGAGCAGGAGGCCCGCTTCCCGCCCGACTGCCCCCGCATGCCGCCGCACGCTTAAACTATATCCCGGGTCGATCGGCGAAGGTCGCCAGCCGGGTGTATCGAAGGTGTTCGCGAGCTTCACGCGTCGCTGCCCGGGTCGCTCGGAGGGGCTCGATGTATTTCGGCGGGGGAGGAGGAGGAGGAGGAGGAGGAGGAGGAGGAGGAGGAGGAGGAGGGGGAGGGAGGAGGAGGAGGGAGGAGGAGGGGAGGAGGGGAGGAGGGGGAGGAGGGGGAGGAGGGGGAGGAGGAGGAATAGGGGAGGAGGAGGAGGAGGAGGAGGAGGAGGAGGAGGAGGAGGAGGAGGAGGAGGAGGAGGAGGAGGAGGGGGAGGAGGAGGGGGAGGAGGGAGGAGAGGAGGGAGGAGGAGGAGGAGGAGGGAGGGGAGGAGAAGAGGGAGAGGGAGGAGGGAGGAGGGAGGAGGGAGGGAGGAGGGGGAGGGACGGGAGGAGGGAGGAGGGGAGGAGAGGAGAGAGGGAGGGAGGGAGGGAGGGAGGGAGGGAGGGGAGAGGGAGAGGGAGAGGGAGGAGGGAGGGAGGAGGCGGAGGGGTGGAGGAGGAGGAGGAGGAGGAGGAGAGAAGGAGGAGGAGGAGGAGGAGGGGGAGGAAGTGAGAAGGAGAAGGCCTTCTCAGAAGGCGGCGAGGGTCTTCTGAGAAGCCCTCGCGCATTCTGAGAAGTTGCTTTGCATCTTCTTGGAAAGCTGAAGAGTCTTCTCAGAAGGCCGGGCGCTTTCCGAGCTCCTGCTTTCTCTCGCCGCCGAGTATACGGATACCGTATCGCCTGGTCGGCCGCGGAGCCACCCATTTTGGCGAAAGAATTCGGTGTTTAGATGCTCCAGCGTCCCAAAGCTTGGGAAGCTCGGACGTCTACGCGCCGAGCTCCTTGGCCGACGGGGCGGCGTGGTGTAGAACTCGAGCACCTCCCAGCCACCAAGGTGCCCTTCCCCAGGGCGCGGCGTGAGGGCGCGCAGACAGCCGCACTTAGCGCATCGGCGGAGCGAAACGCGCGAAGGCGGGTGACCTGGAGCCTCCAAAGGTCCACGGAGGTCTCGAGAGGTCTCCCTGGGCGGCAGGGGGTCCACGGAGGTCCACCATGACATCCGGGCGTTGCAAATGTTTCGCGCCGCGCGTTTTCGCTCGCTTTTCGCCACGGGACCATCACACATCGATCCGTCTAGAAAAAGATTGTGCCTGTGCCGCAGAGCTATGGGGTTTAGGGCTCCGGTTGCGATTTTTCGCGATGCTGCATTTTGCCTCGCAGCGTCGGATCTCAGGGCACGGAGGCCCTGGATCCCCTGGGGGTCGGCTCCACCTAAACATGCTACTACTATGTGGGCGTCGCCCTCAGGGGGGCGGGCGACGCGCGCGCCGAGAAATCCCGCGGTGTGAGCTCCGTGGCGCACGCCTTCTGGCCATACCGCTCGGTAAACGATGTACTATAATCTGTTTGTATTTGATTGGCGCTTCGGGCGCACTCCTCCAAGGAGGACGCATCGTACGAGTGCGGCCGGACCGGGGTATAAGATCGAGGTCGGCGCGGGGATGGTACCCTTACTGTTCTTCTTGCCTGCTGGATGTTCTTGTGCATCCTGTCGGGCGTTGGCAGAACTGGGTTTAGTGGAACCTGGTTTAGAGATTTGTAACAGGGGGGCGCCCCCCCGCCCCATTTCCACTAACCGGAATTGCCGTCACCCGAAAAACACCAGTTACGGCAAACCTGGTTTAGTGAATCTGGCCAATTGAGGGGCCCCAGGGCCCTACCACTAACCGGGTCCCCTTACCCGGGGTCCTGTTTATACCCGATCCTGGCTGGGGGGGAGCGCCCTCGAATGTTCTTCGGCTTTGGCCGGCGGAGGGTCTCATGTCCTTGAGGGATGCTACTATGGGCACCAGCGCAAAGGAGACGGCGCGGGAGGAGAGGCAGGAGGGGGGGCACAGATAGGAGGGGGAGGACGAGGTACCCATGCCTCCTCCTCCTCCTCCTCCCTCCTCCTCCCTCCTCCTCCTCCTCCTGCTCTTCCTCCTCCTCCTCCTCCTCCTGCTCCTCCTCCTCCTCGTCCTCCTGCTCCTCCTCCCTCCTCCTCCTCCTCCTCTTCCTCCTCCTCCTTCTTCCTCCTCCTCCTCCTCTTCCTCCTCCTCCTCCTCCAACCTCTTCCTCCTCCTCCTTTTGCTCTTTTGCTCCTCCTCCTGCTCCACCTCCTCCTCCCTCCTCCTCTTCCTCCTCCTCCTCTTCCTCCTCCTCCTCCTTCTCCTTCCTCCTCCTCCGTCTCAAATCCGACTGCATGCCCCTCTGCGTCCGGATGTGGCCAGATGTCCCTCCACTGCTCGGCCCTCGTCTGGCCAAGCACGAGGGCCCTCAACATGTGCATCTATCAAATGGCTCCTGGAGGAGGAGGAGGAGGAGGAGGAGGAGGAGGAGGAGGAGGAGAAGGATGAGGAGAAGGAGGAGGAGGAGGAGGGAGAAGGAGGAGGAGGAGCACTCCACTTGTGAACCCAGCCGCGTGTGTCTCCAGCCTCCTGGTAGCCTGCCCTCCCGCGCCCCTCCAGGGGGGAGCTGTTTCGCTATTGTCGGCCTCCAGGGGCCCTTACCAGGCCGCAGGGCCGTGCCGAAAACGACTCAGGATGAAAAACCGGTTCCAGGGAAGGGGTCCAGACCTCCAAGGGTCGAAGTCGTGAGCAAATCACGACGTCTGGGGTCTGGGCTTAGCCCTCGGATGCCCCCCGGGCCGGGAGGCCTCTCATGGGAGCTCCGGTGGGGCCCGGAGCCTCGCAGGTGTCTTGTCACATCGCTCGGACGTGTGCGTTTCTTTCCTCGGCGAGGACCAGCTAGGAGCATCCTGGATGGGAGCTTCAATGGGGCCCTGAACCTTGCCAGTATCCTGGCATCGCTCGGACGTGTGCGTTTTTTTCTTCGGTGGGGACCGGCGAGGAGCATCCTGGGTCATCTGGCGAAGAATTGCACGCACGAGGCCGAGGAGGAGGAGGAGGAGGAGGAAACGGATGAGGCCGAGTATGAGGAGGAGGAGGAGGAGGAGGAGGAGGAGGAGCAGGAGGAAGAGGAGGAGGAGGAGAAGGAGGAGAGGGCAGAGGAGGAGGAAGGGAGGAGGAAGTGGAAGAGGACAAATAATCATCATCAGAAGAAGAAGAAGTAATAATAATAATCCTAATAATAATGATAATACTAGTAATATTATTAATAATGCGATTAATAATAGTAAGTGTAATACTACTACTACTAATACGAGTAATATTCACACTAATAGTCATCATCATAATAGTAACTATAAGGCTAATACTAATACTAATAATAACCATCATAAAAACAGTAATATTAATAACAATAATAATCATAATACATAATAATAGCAATGATAATAATAATACGAATAATACGAATAATATTAATAATAATACTAATAATAATAATACTGTGAATACTAATAAGGCTAATTATAATACTACTAATAATGAAAACATATGAGTAAAAACAATAATCATAACACTAGTACTAAACATACTAGTAGTATTAATCATAGTAATAAGAGGACGAGGAGGAGGAGAAGGAGGAGAGGGAGGAGGAGGAGGAGGAGCAAAAGAGGGAGGGGGAGGAGGAGGAGAGGAGGCCGAGCATGATGATGGTGATGATGATGATGATGATGATGATGATGATGATGATGATGATGATGATGATGATGATGATGATGATGACGATGATGATGATGATGATGAGGAGGAGGAGGAGGAGGAGGAGGAGGAGGTGGAGGAGGAGGAGAATGAGAGGGAGAGGAGGAGAAGGAGGAGGAGGAGGCAGAAGAAGAAAAAGAAGAGGATGAGGAGGAGGAGAGCGAGGAGGAGGAGGAGGAGGAGAGGAAGGAGGAGGAGGAAGGAGGAGGAGGAAGGAGGAGGAGGAGGAGGAGCAGCAGGAGGAGGAGGAGAATCCCGGGCCCTCTCGCGAAGAAGAGCACGCACGAGGCCGAGGAGTGCACCAAGGGGGTGGCGTCCGAGCGGCGGCAGGGGGGGGGGGGGGCGCCCGGCACCTCGCCGGGTGTGCGCTCCTCGGCGCCCCCCCGCGGGCCCTCTCCGCGGGCTCCCGCCCGTCCCTGCCCCTCCTGTCGGTCCCGTGGTGCGCGCGCTGCTCGTGCACACGCCCGTCGTTGGAAGTTGGTCTGTCTGGACCCCCGGAGCCCAATCCACCTCGGGCGCCTTCCGACTTCAAGGATCGGCAGGTTTCCTTCCTCCCATTTCTTTCAGGGGGTGGGCGGAAGCCCAACCCACTTCCAGCGCGTTCCTGCTTCGTGCTTCTGCCTACTTCTTCCGACCGGCGTGTAATTACGTTGTGCTCGCGCCTGTGCTCTATCTTTCTTTCAATCAGCACGAGCGCTCCGACGCAGCGATCGCTTCGATCGGGTTCGGCCCAACGAAAAAAGCGGGCCCAGAGATGGCCGAGACTGTTCAGAAGCCTTTCGAGTCTATGGAGCATAGGAGAAGAGAAGGCGACGCAGGCATACACGGGTGCCGGCCCGAGCGAAGCTCTTGGATCTGGGCTGGCCTCCCCCCTCCCTGGCGCAGATCCCCCCCCCGAGAGGAGCGACGGGGAGAACACGGGGTCGCAGCCCAGGAAAGGGACCGTGGAGAGAGGAGCCCAGGAATGGCACTCTGTGAGGTGCTTGCGGGGGGCGACCTCCGCGCGCACGTGCGCTTCCCGCGTGCGGCCGCGCGCAGCCGCCCTCTTCTCCACCGCTGGCTTGCGCCCGCGCAAGCCGCGGGCGCAGGGCCGCCGCGGTTTCTCCCACAAGCGGCCGTTGTAAATCGATTGTGAAGCTCGCGCGCTTCAGCGCAGGCGGGCCGCCTGAACTGTGGACCGCCCGCCGCAAGAGAGGACGGCCGTGCCAACAATGGGCAACCGAAGTGTGTAAGTTGACGCAGCAGCTGTACCCGCTTCTCTCCGCCGCGCGCTCTACAGAGACGCCCGACGACCTCGTTTGTGCAGGGCGCGGCCCCAGAGGTCCCGGCCAGTTCCCGCGGACCCCGGAGCCATTCTTGCTCGCCCCGGCGCCCGCAGATGGCCCCGAGGGCCGAGCTCGTCGAGGAAGGACGCTGGCCCGAGAAGCCAGGTCGCTGCTTTCTACTGGCCACGACTCGGCCCTCCGGCGGCCGCGGGCCCCCCCCCCCGCGGTGGGAGCGCCCGCGACGAGGCGCAGGCGCCGAATAAGGCACCCCTCGAGGCGGGGGGGCCTCCGGGAAAGAAAGCGACGGAGGCGCCGGACAGAGCGTGGAGCCGTCCTCGGAGAGCTGGGCCCCGGCCAGGCGAGCGGCGCAGGGAAGCGGGGCCGTCGTCCCCGCGGCTGGCGCGCGAGCGTCCCGCGGGAGGTCGCGCGCAGGCGCCCTCGTTGCCAAGTGCGGCGCGCCGCGCCGGTGGCTCGCTCGAGCCTCTGCGCGAGCAGGGTGCCACATGCGAGCCCTATCCCTACCCCCCCCCCCACGACTTCTGAGGGGGAGGGTGGGGTTCACTTTGCTCGGGAGCCCCCGAGCGGAGTGGAACCCCACCCTCCCCCCTCAGAAATCGCGTGGGGGGGTGGGGGTAGGTGGGGTTCGCATGCGGCCCCCTCTCTAGCGAGGTCGCTGTGCCACCTCGCGCGAGGCCCGCTTCTGTGCGTCGCCCAGGTGCAGGGGCTCACCAACGTGTTCCTGGGAGTCGTGGCCTTCACCCTGCTACGCGCTCCGCCTGGCCTGGCTCCCGCGGCGCCCCGAGCTGCGGGCGAGTGGCTCGGCCTCGGGCTGGTGGCCTGCCAGATCGGCTGCAGCGTGCTCGCCTCCGTGCTGGCAGAGAGGAGCAGAGTGCCCTCAGATCCTGCACTGCCCCGGACGAGCATCGCAACTGGACTCGTCGATTGGTTTGTTTTCGCTGCCTTCGTTTCTTCATAATTAGGTTTTGGTGCCTTCAGAAGCGGGCCCGGGGTGAAAAACTAGGCGCCCTTGGACGATTCTTCGGCACGACTTGCACAATCTGCATTGCTTTTTTCAGGGGTGATTCTGCCTCGTTTCGGGCCCCAGGGCCCTCACAGATGGATCTGGCTCGAGAAGTGCCGCAGAGATGCGGTGGCGGCGTTGGGTAAGGAATGTGCCCGGGAGGCGTGAGACCCTGGAGGGCTCCTTCTCTGACGAGGGCGGCAGTGATGTCCATGCCCAACCCTCAGTGGGCGTTTTGCCAGCTGCCAGACCCTGGATTCCGTCTCCAACGGTTCCTTCTCCAATGCCCTCACCGTATGGGGCCTAGGGCTCCGGTCGTGACTTCTTACCAGTTTGAAACATATCCCTATCCCTATGTTTGCCATCACCTCACCTCGATGCCGATCTTAAGGATTCCCTCAGTTTCTGAGGTCCCATCCAAATAATAAGAATAACAATGATAAGAATAATAATAATAATAACAATAATAATAATAATGCGAATACGATTATTATCAACAATAAGAATACTACTAATAATAATACGAATGCGAATAATAATGCGAATCAGCATAATAATATGAATAATACTAATAATAAGAATAATAATACCAATAAGAATAATAATAATAATAATAATAAAATATTACGAATACTATTAAGAAGAATAGTAAACATACTAATAAGAATGAGAATAAGAATAATAATAGTAAGACTAAGAATAAGAATAAGACTAAGACTAAGTATATTCATACTAACAATAAGAATAATAATACTAATATTAAGGAAATCAATAATAACAATACTAAGAATAGTAATACTAATAAGAAGAATAATAATAAGGATACTGATAGTAATACGAATAAGAATAAGACTATGACTAATAATAAGAATAATAGTAATAAGAATAATAATAATAATACTAATAATAATAATAAGAATAATAGTACGAATACGAATACGAATAATAATACTACTAATAAGAATAATGATAAGAAACAGAATACTAATAATCAGAATAAGAATAAGAATAAGGCCCTACCCCTGAGATTGCCCTCGCTTTTTGTTCGCCCATCTTAGGGATAGGGATATGTTCGAGGCCGGTTATTTCCGCGCTGTTGCAACGGCTGGAGCTGTTCTCGCGGCGTCGGACCTTGGGCGCCGGGGCTGCGCGCTCGTCGCCACGGCTGGGCGCAGCACGGACAACGAACGCTTGGGGACCCCGGGAGGCGTCGGGGGCCTTTTCTCTTGAGCAGCGCCATGGTCTCGGCCCGCCTTGTTCCGGGAGGAGCCTCGGGAGCACCGAGGGCGTGCCCTTCTACACGGCGATCGCGCAGCTGAAGGCCGGGCCGCCAAAGGGGCAGCCGGGTCCCCCATGAGGAGGCCCGAGGACCCGGTCGGACCGAGGTGCGAGGTCCAGGTCGGCTCGGGGAGTCGTGCTTGTCTTGGGTGTTCTCGTGTGTCCTGGGGGAGGGTGCCCTCGGATGTTTTTTAATTAGCTTGGCCGGCGAAGGGTTCCATGGTCTCTTGTGTCCCAGGTCTGGCCGCAGGTGGGGCCCCCAGAGCTCCGGCGGCCTGATGCCCTCACTCGGCGCTGCTTTTCCCAGGAGGTCGGCCCTCGAGGGCCCATCATGGGGCCCATCATGGGGCCCATCATGGGGCCATCAGGCACGGATCTGGGACGAAGCGCTGCCTCCGAGGGGGCAAGGGGGCGGGACCTCTGCGGAGCCGCGCACCGGGACAAAAAGACGTCGCCGGAATCTTGGGAGATCGCGCCGCCTCGGCGATGCGGCTCGACCTGCGCCGAATTCAGCACCTCCCGCGCGGCAATTCTGGGGCCGCCGCGGCGGCCTCAGCGCTGGCCGCCGCTGCGGCCGCGCCGGCGGGCGTGGCAGCGCGGCACCCGCCGCGCGGAAGGTGCAGGTCGAGGTCTCCCCGTCGTGATCGTTCCACGGTGCAGAGGCGTCCAGTTTTCGGGCCGTGGCTCGGGCCCGTGGCGGCCTCCTGCGGCGCGCGACGGCGTCCCGAGGCCCAGCGAGGGCCTCCGGGCGCTCTCCGGGCCCAGCGAGGGCCTCGGGCCAGCACGAAGGACAGCACAGCCCACCCCCCCACCCAGCAAGGACCCCCCCACACCCGACCTGGTGATCCGGGGCGTTCTGCCTGGGTGTCGGGGTGGTTCGGGAGGCTTTTTGAAGGGGGAGCCACAAACCACCCTCAGCCCCATCCAGGATTCCTGGATCACCCGATCGGGGGTGGGGTTCCTGACTGGGTGCGTGTTGTGGCAAGTATCGTTCAGCCGATCCCTACCCCCATTCCCATCCCGATCCCCACGATCCCCCCACCCCAGCCGGGCACATATGCCCCTCGAAGCTCGAAGGGAACGGCCCAGATCCCCATCTCTGGGGGGGCAGATCGGCCAGTGGAGCCCCCACGCCCGTGGGGATGGGGACCAGCTCGACGATGCTCGCGCGCTGGCCTCAGCAGCTCGGTCCTCGGAGGCCGGGGAGCTCGCGGTCGCCCTCGCCAGCATGTGCCTCCTGCCCGGGCGGGCGTTCGAGCCCGGCGCGCTGCTGCGGCGCCCCTCCGCGATGCTCGAGGGCTTCGGGCGCGCGGTGCCCGCGGGGCGCCAGCTCTGCACGCCTGCACCAAGTTCCCTGGCCACCCCTCCTCCTCCTCCTCCCTCCTCCTCCTCCTCCTCCTCCTCCTCCTCCTCCTCCTCCTCCTCCTCCTCCTCCTCCTCCTCCGCCTCCTCCTCCTCCTCCTCCTCCTCCTCCTCCTCCTCCTCCTCCTCCTCCTCCTCCTCCTCCTCCTCCTCTCTCCTCCTCTCCTGGCGGCTGGGGAGGAGGGGGGGGCCGTCCGCACGGCACGGCCCCTGCCCCCCCCCCCCCCTGGATCAGTGCCTCGGCCGTCCTGGCCCGGGGAGGAGAGCAGCGGCACGGCTCCCGGGCCCGGGAGGCACCTGGCCAGAGGAGGAGGAGGAGAGGAGGAGGAGGAGGAGGAGGAGGAGGAGGAGGAGGAGGAGGAGGAGAGAGGAGGAGGATGAGGAGGAGGAGGAGGAGGAGGAGGAGGAGGAGGAGGAGGAGGAGGAGGAGGAGGATGAGGAGATGGGTCGGTGCAGGCGTGCGGCGCCGGCGCCCTCCTCCCGCAGGTGTGGCTGCTGGCGCTGTGCCTCCTCGCCGACGGCTGGATGTCGGCCCTGGTGGTGAGGTCGCTCAGCAGTGTGGCCAAGCTCATCGCCAAGTGCCTGTCGCTCAGCCGGAGGGCACCCAAGGCGGCGCAGGCCACGGCACTCTCGGGAGCGCAGTACTGGTGCCTCCCAGCACCTTGGCATCGCTCGGACGTGTGCATTTTTTCTCGGCGAGAACCATCGAGGACCATCCTGGACCATCGAGCAAAAAAAAAAACACGCACGAAACTGACAAATGCACGGGAAATGGACGTCCGAGCGACGACAAGGCACCCAACTCGGGCCGGACGAGAGGGGGGGGTACGAAATTTGCTGCACGCAGCTGGTTTCGGCCTCGCCGAGGGGCCCATTCCTCGATACATGGCCGCCTCTGGCGCCGGGAGGGCGCCGGGAAAGTCAGCCACGTGAGCTGATTCTCACCCCCCCCCCCTTTGCTATCCCCCCCTTTCGCCCGACCCGATCAACACCCCACCCGCTCCTGGCGCACTCCGTGCGCGAAGGAACCGTATGAGGTCCGAGGGCGCGAAACCACCGCGACACCGTGACACGCCGCTACCGGTCGATCTCGGATGTTCCCCGGGGGCCGAGGCGGGGCAAGAGAGCACCCAGTGCGAAGAGCTTGCACCGCCCAGAGATCGGGGGAGGAGGAGGAGGAGGAGGAGGAGGAGGAGGAGGAGGAGGAGGAGGAGGAGGAGGAGGAGGAGGAAAGGAAGAGGAGAAGGAGGAGGAGGAGGAGGAGGAGGAGGAGCCCCCCGAAGACCCGCGAGGGTCTATGCAGTCGGGTCGAGGTGTAAGATCGTGGTCGGTCCGGGGAGGGTACCCTCGTGTTCCTCGTGTTTGGTGGGCACGCTGGTGCACCATGGGGGGGCGGCACCCTTGGATACTCTGTGCGTGTTGGCCGACGGAGGGTCTCGTGCTCTTCTTGACGCAGGCGATCGCAAACATGGATGAAGGGGGCGTCGGGGGTCTGGGATTAGCGACGGGCCCCGTTCCCAGGGGAAGCCGCGGATTTCCGGCCGCCGAGCGCGGCGGCACCGGCCGCATTTTTGGGGAGGGCACCTCCCGTGGGGCGACCGCGCGCCGAGTCCATGGATCGCCACTCCGCGTCCGCGCGCCCCCGGGTCGAAGGGTGCTCGCCTGGCCCTCCCCCTCCTCCTCCTCCTCCTCCTCCTCCTCCTCCTCCTCCCTCCTCCCTCCTCCCTCCTCCTCCTCCCTCCTCTGGGTCCGGCGGCACAGGCCCCGAGGCTTTCTGCGCAGCCCTGGTGATCGCCCTCCGCCCATCGTGCTCTACCTCGTCGCCCTGGCGTGCCGCTCGGAGCCCTTCGCGCTGCCCCGCTTCCTCCTGGCCCTGCTGGTCCGCCGAGATCCCCGGCGATCCCACGCCTTGGCAAAAACCACCGCGGAGGCTGTTCTCTTGCAAGCTTCGGCCTCTGCAGAGGCCGTCGCCGGGCCCCGGGACCGTCAAGAAGCGCCTCGGGATGAAAAACCGGTCCTGGGGAATGGGTCGAGGCTTCCCAGGGGCCCCGCGTGGAAAAGATCACGACCCGTCGGATCTCTGGGGCCGCCGAGATCCGGCCTTCGCGAAGGAGCCGCCCCGGACGTGCTCGCGTCGCAGCAGAGAGCCCGGACGGCGGGTCTTCGGCCGTTTTTCCGGCCTCTTTTGGGGCCCTCGCCAGGCCTCGCCGGGACCGTCAGGATGACAAGCCAGCCCCGGGGAAGGGTTCGGGACTTCCGGGGGCGCCGCCCTGCAGAAATCAAAATCAGGGCGTCGCATGTCTGGGGCGGCGTCGCGGAAATCACGGCTGTTTTTTTGTCCCTACCTAGGCTCTGCCCAGAAGGGTTCTAACCCTGTGTCTTGAAGGGGCCGGGCAGCGGGCGGTTCCCCCGGCACCCGCCCCGCGGTTCCCCCAGTGACGTTCCCTTAGCCTAGCGTTGCTTATCTCATCTTAGCTTAGCCTAGCTTAGCTTAGCTTAACTTAGCTTAGCTTATCCTAGCCTAGCTTAGCTCAGTTTAGCTTAACTTAGCTTAGCGAAGCCTAGCTTAGCTTAGCTTAGCTCAGTTTAGCTTAACTTAGCTTAGCTTAGCGAAGCCTAGCTTAGCTTAGCTTAGCTCAGTTTAGCTTAACTTAGCGCAGCATTAGCATAGCATAGCATCGCATAGCATAGCATAGCGTAGCATAGCATGCCATATCATAGCATAGCGCAGCATATCATGACATAGCATGTCATAACATGTCATAGCATAGCGCAGCATAGCATATCATGGCATATCATATCATGTCATAACATATCATAGCATAGCTTAGCTTAGCATAGCACAGCGCATCATAGCATAGCATAGCATACCATATCATAGCATAGCGCAGCATAGCATAACATAGCATAGCATAGCATAGCATAGCATAGCATAGCATAGCATAGCGCAGCATAGCATTGCACAGCACGCTCTCCTAGATGCTCCAGCTCCTAGGTAGGGTCGCACTGGGATCAGTCCTCCGCCTCGGCGCGGCCCGCCCCAGCTCTGCACGGCGCCATCGGCGCGGCTCCGCGACCCCCGCGAACCCCCAAAAAAAGAAGATCACAGCCTGGAGAGCCCCGGGCCCCGTCTTTCGGCTGCACCCTCCGAGCGCCGCATCGAGCTGCGATGGCGCCCTGGGGCAGACCATGGCGCGAAAAAACGCCCCGCGTGCCAACACAAAAATCGCCTCGCGGGAGGCGGGCGGGCCCGGCGGGCGCCGGGCCGGGACCCCCGACGCCAGGAGCTGCTCCGAGCGGCGGCCCCCGGAGGCCTCGACCCCCTTCCAGCTGGCCAGCCCTCCCCGCCCCGACGCCGTGCTCCGACGGCCCATATGGGCCCAGCGAGGGCCTCCAGACCCAGACCCCCGACGCCATGATTTTTTCACGACGCGACCCCCAGAGGTCTGGACCCCTTCCCCGGGACCGGTTTTTCGTCCCGAGTCGCTTTTGGACGGCCCCGAGGCCCGGGAAGGGCCCCCGGAGGCCGAACATAGCGAAAAACCTCCGTCGTGATTTTTTTTTTTCAGATCTCGAGGGGGTCTGGGGAGGCCGACGGCAGCGCGCAAACGTTGCCGCCGTGCAGCTTCACGCACGGCCCGGCGGCGCCCTTTGCGTGAGGGATTGCGGCGCCCGGGCCTCGAGGCTTCAGGAGGAAAAGAAACACGCAGACACAATTAATCCTCGATCCCCCCGAAAAGATGGGAAAATATGGGAAGTGGGGGGAAGACAGAAACCCAGAAAATATACGAAAATATGGGGAATATTTTTATTCGTGTGTATTTATTTGTGTGTCCTGGGGCCCCTTCGAGGTCGTGAGCGGCACCGTGCAGTTCGCCTACGCCTCGCGGCGGCGCGGCGGCGCCCGCGCGGAGGCGGAGCCGCTCACGGCGGCAGAGCGCGCACAGATCGAGGCCACGGGCAGGATCTGCACCATATTCAGGAGGGGAAAAAACACGCAGACACAATTAATCGGCGATTCCCCAAAAATATGGGAAAATATGGGAAGTGGGGGGGAAGACAGAAACCCAGAAAATATGGGAAAATATGGGGGACATTTTTATTTGTGTGTATTTATTTGTGTGTCCTAATTTCCCTTTACATATGCTGGAGCACATGCCAGCGAAGGTATTGTCGATGCGTTCCCAGACCTCCTCGAGTCATGAAAAAATCACGACGGGAGGTTTTTCGCTATTCTTGGCCTCCGGGGGCCCTCGCCGGCCCTCGGGACTGTCAAAAAACGACTCGGGACGAAAAACCGGTCCCGGGGAATGGGTCTGGACCTCTGGGGGTCGCGTCATGAAAAAATCATGACGTCGGGGGTCTGGGTTGTCCGACGGGATTCCTGCGTCTGGGGACGCTCCAAAGTTTACCGGGCATCGGTCTTGGTTGCATTGCGGTGCACCGCGTTGTGCTGGCAGTCTTGGGTACGAGCACGTGTTGCGCGAGTTTAGATCTGTTCGAATACGAGCAGATGCGTTCAGGTATGTGCTTCTACATGTTTAGGTACGGGCGCTCTAAGCCGTTGTGGTGTGCTATGTGCGAGGGGGAGCGGTGAGGAGATGGGAGGCGGGGCCAGGGGAAGAGCAGGGGGCCCGAGAAGGAGGACCGCTGAGGATGCGGAGCACGGACCGCCTGGTACACACTGGGAGTGGGGGACGGGCAAAGACGAGGAGCCGCGAGGACAAATCGTGAAGAGAGGGGGGGGGGGGGGGGGCAAATCCTCCTCCTCCTCCTCCTCCTTCTCCTCCTCCTCCTTCTCCTCCTCCTCCTCCTGGCGAGGTGACGGAGATGCAGCAGGACGAGTGAGGAGGGGGAGTGAGACAGTGAAGAAGTAGGTGGATCAGTGACACGATGCACGAGGAAGCGCATAGAGGCTGAGGGAACGGAGTGCAACGTATCAAAGCGATTGGGGTGCACTGTGAAGGTGGGCGAAGATGAAGGTGGTACGTAAGATTGGTTCGAGGCCGTAGACGATGCTGTGAGTGATCTTAGGGTGAGGGTCAGGGTGGGGGAGATGATACAACCGAAAACTGGCAGGACGTACATATAAGATTGAGAGCAATAATTGATTATGGCGATGGTGACGCTAATCGTGGCTTGCAGACCTTCGCGTCCTTCTCCTAATTGGGAAACGGATGCGATTGGATACGCCGCGGCAGTGTCTTCATCAGGAAGTTAGAGAATGGCATCTCTGTTGCCATTGGTATATCTAGATCTGGCCCGACCTTGGATATGATTGACCAGTACATATGTTTGGGTACGGGGACGCCCCAGCGCAGACCAGGATAGCGAATCTAGAATCCATATCCATAATCTTTTCTTCTGGGCACAATGATACGGGGAGGCTGGTATCTCTTGGTCCGTAGCGCGATCGAATATCTAAGAACCTACACGTTTGGGATCTGATTTCCAGGGATACCCCCACTGCGTGTCGGAAGCCCGAAACTCAGAGGATATGGATAAACATCAAGCTCCTGAGGGGGCCAGGTTTCCTCCAGGTCCACTGCGTCTCCGGTGTTGTGGCATCCCTTCCCCGAACACCCAAGACGCCGTGGATGCGGATGCAGATCTCGCCCGGATCGAGGCCGCGTTCCGCCGCTTCGACTCCGACGGCGACGGCGACCTCGAGCTGGCGGAGTTCGACGCGATGCTCTGCCACCTCGGCGCGAAGCTCGCGGGGCCGCAGCTCCAGCAGGCCTTCGAGGAGCGGGGGGCGCGCGCCGATCGGGGCAGGCGAGTCCTGGTGGTGAGGAAGAAAACACCTGATCTGCATGTTCTTGATCCTCTCTTGATCCTTGATCTGTAGGTTCTGGATCCTTCCTCGGTTGCCTGGTCCTTGATCGATCTGTACTCTTTCGACACCGTGCCGTTTCGCCCTGCTTCGGGCCCCGGGACCATCGCAGACCGATCCGCTTGGTAGCATGCGGCAGAGAGATGTCGTCGTCGTCGTCGTCGTCGTCGTCGTCGTCGTCGTCGTCGTCGTCGTCGTCGTCGTCGTCGTCGTCGTCGTCGTCGTCGTCGTCGTCGTCGTCGTCGTCGTCGTCTCCTCCCTCCTCCCTCCTCCCTCCTCCCTCCTCCCACCTCCCTCCTCCCTCCCTCCTCCCCGTGGTCTATAGGGCCTGCGTCGTGATCTCAGGGGCGGCGGGTGTGCGGCAGCTCTCGGCCTCCGGGGGGCCCCCCCCGCTCGGCCCCGGAGGCCGAGGCGCCGAGCCTGGGGGGCACGGGCCGCCAGGGCCTGCGGGGAAGGCCTGCGCGGGGGACAGAGGACGAGGTCGGAGGTCTCGCCACGGTGCGCGGTTTCTGGAAGCGTGCACGTGGCCGGCTGGGCCGCAGGGGATGGGTCGCACGGCGGCCGTGCCTCGGCTGCTCGTTCGAACGGGCAGCCTCCATCGACGCCGTGGGCGTCCAGCGGACCGCGGCTGCCCGTGGAGTGCCGGTGCGGTTCTTGCTGGAGGGGAGCGGATCGCCGCTCGGGGCCAGTGGTGCGGTGGCCTGCGCAGGAGCACGAGGCTCTCCCATCGGGGGCCGACCGTCGGTGAAGCAGGCAGACTCCTCCTCCTCCTCCTCCTTCTCCTCCTCCTCCCACCTCCTCCTCCTCCTCCCACCTCCTCCTCCACCTCCTCCTCCTCCTCCTCAAGCCTCCTCCTCAAGCCTCCTCCTCCTCCTCCTCCTCTGCAAGCCTCCTCATCCTCCTCATCCTTCCTGCTCGGAGGAAGACTGGAGAAATACGATAACTTCAGCAGGAGGTCTGTTCGGATTTCTTGGATCTGCGCTGGACCTTCGAACGACCTTGCTTATGCCATGTGCTGTTCTTCGTATTCTTCGAGAGCCGTCTTTTACACGTCATCGTTCCCCCCCCTGAGCGGCCCCTGACTTCCGCTGATGTGATTTCTTCAATGCGCGGCCCAAGAGGTCCCGACCGCTTCCCCGGGGGCGTTGTTGCGCCCAGGGTCCATTTTTGTTTGCCCCCCGAACCCGAAATTCTGGGAGGACGCGCCGCTGAGACACACTCAAACACACACACACACACACACACACACACACATTCACACACTCACACACACACGCACACGCACACGCACACGCACACGCACACGCACACGCACACACACACACACACACATTCACACACACACGCACACACACACACATTCACACACACACGCACACGCACACGCACACGCACACGCACACGCACACGCACACGCACATACACACACACACACGCACACACGCACACACGCACACACGCACACACGCACACACGCACACACGCACACACGCGCACACGCGCACACGCGCACACGCGCACACGCGCACACACGCACACGCGCACACGCGCACACACGCACACGCACACGCACACACACACACACACACACATCGTACCCCCAGGACCCTGAACGCCCTCGACGAGGCGCAGCCGCTAAAAAGCGTCCCGAGGCCGGAAAGTTTCCGGGAAACGACGAAACGTGAGAAAATTGTGTCGGACTATCGTCGGAAATCTGGACCCCCGCCTGCTGGAAAAATCATGTCACCGGAGACCGTGGGATCCTCTCAGAGGAGCTGGACCTGAACGGGGACGGTGATGGTGATGGTGTTCGCTGTGGTGTACACTAAGTACCATCATCATCATCTCCTAAATTCGTCGTCACTGATGTTGGTGATGCTGATGATGATGCGGCGGTAATTACTGTGGTGGCGGCTTCGATGGAGGTGGCGGCGGTGGTTCAAATTTCCACGCGATGCTGCCGAAGCCCTGGTTGGTCTGGGGCTCGCCTGCAGACCCAGACCCACGACGTCGCGATTTTTTTCGCAAAGCTGACCCCCAGAGGTCTGGACTCCTTCCCCCGTGGCGGGCTTCCCGAGCCGTTTTTTTGACGGCCCCGAGGCCCGGAAACAGCAGAGAACCTCCCGCCGTGATTTGTTCACGGCGAGGAGGAGGAGGGAGGAGGAGGAGGAGGAGGAGGAGGAGGAGGAGGAGGAGGAGGAGGAGGAGGAGGAGGAGGAGGAGGAGGAGGCATGAGGAGGGAGGAGGAGGAGGCATGAGGAGGAGGCATGAGGAGGACAACGAGGGAGGAGGAGAAGGAGGAGGAGGAGGAGGACGACGAGGAGGACGAGGAGGAGGACGGCGCGGGGGTCCGGGGAGGAGCTGGACCTGAACGGGGACGGCCGGGTCTGCGTCGGGGAGTTCGCCGCCTTCTGGGAGTCGCAGCCCCGCCTCCGCGGCTACTCGGCGCCAGGCCCGTCGCCGCCCGACGGGGCCTCGGGTAAAGGGGGGGGAGGAGGGGGGCGGAAGCGCGCAGGCGGCCGCTCCTGGGCTCCAGGAGGGCCCCGGGGGCTTCCCAGACGGCCCGAGGGGGGGCTCCGAGAAGGCTCGAAGAGCCCTCCCAGCTTTTGTCTTTTTGCTCGTTTTTGTTTTTTTGATCACGTCTGACCTCCAAGGAGCCTCCAGGGAGCCAAAGAGCGGTCCGGGGAGGGCCCCAAGAGGGCCCCGCGTTTCTGTTGGGGGCTCACGTCGGGTCGCGCCATGTTGCAGCCCACTCCATGCCTTCGCCTGCTCCTCGCTCGCCGCTGTCCTGGCTCGGAGGGCCTCGGAGCATGCGGGTGGGGCGGCTGACTCGGTTACTTGTCGCGGAGCAGTCGCAGCTGCATGGGACCTCACTTCGCGTCTGGGTAGCGGGGCCGCGCGCGCCTCGGATGCAGGCAAGAGGGCCCCAGGTGCTCCCAAGATGGCCCGAGGATGGCTCCGAGAAGGCTCCGCGAGCCGCCCAAGATGCTCTGAGGGCGAAGGGTCCGATCCTCTCGGGTCGGGACAAGAGCATGATGACGGACGGTGTGTTGCAGTCTTCGGCTTCGCGGGGGCCCTCGCCGGGCACCCGGACCGTCGAGGAACCACTCGGGAGGGAAAGCTGGTCCCTGGGAATGGGTCGAGACCTCTGGAGCGTGTTTTTTTGGGGGGGTTGTTTGGGGCATAGTGGTCATTCTACAGTGCCGTTTTTGATACATGCTCCGCGTGCGGATCATGTATGAAGATGAAGGGATTTAGTATTAAAAGCAATCATGAATTGATGCATTGATGTATAAGTCAATGAATCATGTGTCAACAATCCTATAGCCCAGACCCCCGACGTCATGATTTTTTCATGACGCGACCCCCAGAGGTCCCGACCCCTTCCCCGGGACCGGTTTTTCGTCCTGAGTCGTTTTTTGACGGTCCCGAGGCCCGGTAAGGGCCCCCGGAGGCCGAAAGTAGCGAAAAACCTCCCGTCGTGATCTTTTCACGACGCGAGGAGGTCTGGGAGATTTGAAACATTCTATGTATTAAGAACTGCCCTGTGTAGCCCCCTCCCCCACCTCCCACCCCCCCTTTCACGTAACGCTCCTTCCCCCCTCCCCAGTGCGCTCCGTGCACCGCCGCCGTGCGCATCGGGCACACGGCGGGGGGGAGGCGTTACATCATACCCCCTTCCCGCGCCCCCCCCCTGACTCCGGATTCGCCCTACTTTGGCATTTTTCCAACTTAAAATTGCGTCGGAAATCCACATCTAAGAAACCGAAAAAGTAGAGCGGAAATTTCCGCCCCCAAGAAGCAGTGCTGATAGTTTCGCCTTACTTTTTTGACGTTTCTAGTCAAGTCCAGTAGGGCGGAAATTGGCATCGTCAAGGCTTGAAAAGTGTGGCGGAAATTCCAGGCCCAGCTTGCGAAATTGCCCAAAGTAGGGCGGATCCGGAGTCAGGGCCCGCTATAATGCCCACTATCGCCGACAATAAAGAATAACGCGCTCCTGGGGCCGGCGTTCCTACGAAAAAAACATCGTGACGTCGGGGGTCCGGCTTCGCAGGCACGTCGCGCGTGGAGGTTGTCGGTGTCAGCAGGTGGCCCACGGAGCTGTCTCGCCCCCTGCTGGCCCTGGGGACCCACAGGATCGGGCCGAACGAAAGGGGGGGATAGGGAAAGGGGGGGGTACGAAATTGGCTGCATGCAGCTGGTTTCGGCCCCACTGAGGGGCCCCTTCCTCGATACATAGCCGCCTCCGGCGCCGGGAGGCGCTGGGAAAATCAGCTACGTGAGCTGATTCTCAACCCCCCCCTTTGCTATCCCCCCCTCTTCGCCCGACCCGACAGAAGCTCCGGGGCACCCTCTGGGGCCCTCGAGAGAAGATCGACGAAGCATGTGGTCCGGGAGTTCTTCCAGCGCGAGCCCCTGCCGCGCGGTGTCTGCTGTACTGGCTGACGCTCGGACGTGCCACACCGCCCAGGGGTCGGCCTCCCCTCAGTGGGCCCCTGGAAACGGCAGGGCCGTTTTTTCTCACCGCTTCCAGAAAAAATGCTCCCTGAACATGGAAACGGCAAAAAAACGGCGACCGGAAACGGCAAACAAACGGCTCCAGGATTGGAACCGGAGCCGGAACCGGTCCAGAAAAGCGGCGACGGAGCCGGTGACAAAAACGGCGTCGGGACCGGCAACAAAAACGGCAAAACGGAACGGGTAACAAAAACGGCCCTGTCGTTTCCTCGCCCTCATTCTTCCAGAGCTTCCGTGCTGACCTTCCACACTCTTGCGCTTCGTGAAACGCTGACTTTTCTTGCGTTTCCTGGGGCTTTCATTCATGCCTTCCATGCATCACCTTCCACGCCTTCCGCAGAGGTCGGAAGGTGTCGAAGATGGAGGTGGAGGGAATTTCCAGGGCCCACTACCCAGACCCCCGACGTCATGATCTTTTCATGACGCGACCCCTAGAGGTCCCGACCCATTCCCCGGAACCAGTTTTCCGTTCTGACTCGTTTTTTGACGGCCCCGAGGCCCGGTAAGGGCCCCCAGAGGCCGAAAACAGCGAAAAACCTCCCGTCGTGATTTTTTCACAGCGCGAGGGGGTCTGGGTGAGGGCCTCCCCCCCCCCGTGCTCGCGGCAGCGGCGGCCTCCGTGCCTCCCTCCGCGCGGGGCGCCGGGGCGGAGGCGTTGCCTGCCGCGCGGCCTCTGCCCGGGCCGCCAGCGCGCAGAGCGGCGCGACGTGCCCGGGCCCCGGGGCCTCTGGAATGAAGTCGGGCCTGTCCCCCTACAGGGGGATGGTGGGAATTGGCCCAGATGGTGGGAATTGGCCCAGAACCTACCATGTCCCCCTACAGGGGGATGGTGGGAATTGGCCCAGATGGTGGGAATTGGCCCAGAACCTACCATGGTGGAAGACTCGTGAAGAAGGCTTCTTGGACTACATGCGTCGCTTCCTCCACTCCGGCAACTGCAACGAATGAGCTTTCTGGCGCTCCGGCGCCCCCGCCGGGCTCGCATAGGGCCGTCCTTCCGGGACGTTTTCCGGCGCTCTGCTCTCTGCTCCCTACAGGGGGATTTTCGACGACAAATAAAAGATACTCCAAGAATGGCCCAAAAAATAATCAAAAGATAGTCTGGGGATTATTTGTTGAGCATTGTTTTAGTTTATTTTTTTATATATATATATATATATATATATATAAAGAAAATATGTTTGGGGTATTTTTTTATTTTTCGGTGAAACAATATTATTTTTCGTCGAAAGCCCCACTGTAGGGGGACAGGCCCGACATAACTCTGGAAGGCTGCGGTCTGGAGTGCCGCCAGCGCTCGGCGAGGCTCGACGGGGAGGGGTGCTTCATGGCTTCCGGCCCCGGCGGCGCTGGCTGGGCCCCGGGGGCCTTCAGAAGGCTGCGGTCTGGAGAGCCGGCCAGAGGCCTGCGGGGGTGGCGCACTCTTGGGCCCCATGCTGACCCAGACCCCCTCGAGCAATGAAAAAATCACGACGGGAGGTTTTTCGCCATTTTCGGCCTCTGGGGGCCCTCACCGGGATTCGGGAGCGTCAGAAAACGACTCAGGATGACAAACCGGTCCCAGGGAATGGGTCGGGACCTCTCGGGGTCGCGTCATGAAAAAATCATGACGTCGGGGGTCTGGGGAGGGCGCCCAAATGGGGCCAAGCAGGGCTCAGGAGTCGGGGGCGGAAAAGAGGGGGGTGATGACTAGGGGGGGTGGATATCATGGCGAGGGCCATGATATTTCCCCAGATTTTATGGCGCCTCTTCTTATTTCATTACGCCCTGGCCCCCCCGCTGGGCCGCGCACATGCCGCCGGTCATGATTTGCACCCCGCCCCTCTTGGACACCCCCCTCTTGGCCGCTCCCGAGGGAGGGTCCCTGGTTTTCGGCTGTGGCTCTGACTCAGCTCGGGGAGCCTATTTAGGGCCGAGGCTTGCCGTGGCCATCAAAACAAACATTCATTCCTTGTTCAGCATCCCTCATACGATGACTGTGTGTTTCCTGCTCGCCTGCTTGCTTCCCGTCGTGGCCACCTGCTTCAGCCCCACCCAAACATACGAACACTACGTGTGCGTCGCCCCCGAAGGGGCGACGCGCGCGCCGAGAAATTTTAGTACGTATTTGCTCCGTGCCGTGCGCTTTCTGGCCGCACCGCTCGGGAAACCATATATATATATATATATATACACACACATCGGGGGCGGCCAAGAGGGGGGTGATGATTAGGGGTGTGTGGATATCATGGCGGGGGTCATGAGATCTCCGCAGATTTCAGGGCGCCTCTTCTTATTTCAACACGTCTCTGGCCCCCCCCCCCCCTGGGCCGCACACATGCCGCCGGCCATGATTTGTGCACCCCCCCCCTTTCGGACGCCCCCCTCCTGGCGGCCCCCGAATATACTGGCAGATGGACGTACTATATGTTCGGGTCGGACGCGCGCCTCCGAGGAGGACGCGTATTGCTCGCGTGTCCCTCCGCGTCCCGCGGATGCTCGGGGGGCCCTCTCGGGGCCCCGTGCCCCTCCCCTTCGCGCGCTTCGTGGCCCTATCGGGAGTCCCACCGATGACCCCAGAGCCACAGTCCACGCGCGCCTCCCCGACCACCGCATGCCCATCGGGAGCCCCACCGAGGGCCCCAATGGCATAGTCCGCGCGATCCCCGCCCCCCCCCGTCCCCCGCCGCCAACCGCACGCCCATTTCGGCACATCCGTCGCACGTTTCGTCGCCCATAGGGAGCCACACCGAAGCCCCCAGCGCCAGAGTGCACATGCGCCTCCCCGCCCACCGCACGCGAATGTCGGCACATCCCTCACACGTTTCCTAGCCACATAGAGATCCCCACCAGAGGCCCCAGCGGCAGAGTCCACATGCGCCTCCCCGCCCACCGCACACTTATTTTCGGCACACCCCTCGCACGTCTCGTGGCCCCACATAGAGCATCACCGAA